GAGCTATGATCTGTAATCAGGATAAACTTCTTGCCCTTTAGCCAATGCTTGAAATATTTAACACCACAAACAACACTCAACGCTTCCAAATGGTGAATCGAGAACCTTGTTTCACTTCCGTGAAGACCACGAGAACCATACGATAAAACTTGCTCATTTCCCAGAGTTTCCCAGTCATCTACTTGACTCGCAATGAAAGAAATTCCCTTATTTGACGCATCACAAGAGACACATTGTACTGCCGTACGGAGAGGTGAGGATAGAATAGGAGCCGTAGCCAGAGCGTTCTTTAACTGATCAAAGGAGGATTGTTGTTCTGGACCCCATTCGAACACACAATTTTTCTTGGTCAATCTATTCAACGGTTCAGCAATTTCACCATATCGATGGACATATTTACGATAATATCCACTCAAACCAAGAAAACTTCTTATATCCGTAGCATTTTGAGGTTCAGGAAAATTTTTGATTTTGATTACGTTCCTTTCACCAGGACAATTTCCACTAGCACCAAGAACATGACCCAGATATTCGACCTTATCTTCGCCAAAATGACATTTCTTCCTTTTTAATTTCAGATTTGCCTTAGAACACGCCTCGAACAACAACTCCAGATGTTTCTTATGATCTTCCAAATTTTTTGAGTAGACCAAAATGTCATCCAAGAACACAGAACAGAAAACACCAATATATTCACGAAATATACTTGACATCACACGTTGAAATTGGCAACAACCATTCGTCAAACCTTGAGCGAGCCTCTTGTACTGAAAAGCACCTTTACTAGTAACAAAACCAGTCACCTCAGCGCCATCCTTGTCAAGCTCCAATTGATGATAACCACTGGTACAATCGAACGTAGAAAATACCTTTGCATCACCTACAGTTTCTATAAGTTCATTTACAGTAGCCGTAGGAAAGTTTTCCTTAATGATCATTTTATTTGCAGCTCGAAAATCTACAACAGGTCTCTTCACACCAGTTTCCTTTTTGTTCACCAGAAACAAACAACTTGACCACTCACCGTTTGACGGCTCAACAATACCAAGATCTAGCATTTCCTGCACATGAGCATCCACCAATTCTTGATCAGACCAACCCAAACGAAAAGGACGATGGCGAACCGGAACCGCCTTTTCAACAAGTCGTATCTTCGCCGAATAACCCTTGATGCACGTAAGTCCAGAAACTTCAGAAAAGCAATGTTTATATTTTTCAACAACACCTTTCAACGGCTCAATGACATTTGTAGAAATGTTGTTTGCATTGTACTCAAAATTTGCATTCTTGTCATAACCCAAGTCACCTTCTTCAGCATCAGGGATCAAATCATCCTCCAACGTGTTACAATATTTTTGACTTGACGCCACAGAAAAGATCTCTTGTTCTTCCTTGGACCTCTCAACACCACGAATAATTCTCGAGGTACGACCTTGAACACGCACAATACCCTTGGAAGTAGGAACCTTAATCTGCGAATTTTGAATATCCAAAGAAATACCATAGGCTTGGAACCAAGGAATCCCCAAAAGACAAATATCACTATCGGTGTTCATTTGAACCGCCATATGCTCAGGACGAATCTTGCCCCCAATACAGATAGGTACGTTCATAACCACATTTGACATGGAAGGAGTATTATTATTGTTGAAACCGACCAAATGCAAGTTATCACCATTAGGTACCAAACCCAACGAATTACAAATATTAGATCCTAAAATGGAAACCGAAGCACCCGTGTCAAAAACAGCCTCTAGCGATTTACCATTAATTTCGATAAAACCTCTCAAAGGCGAAGTAGACTTCATACGTTGCAGATCATAAGGATAACCATATACGGACTCTAACTCACTGAACTCCAAATCAGACACTTCACCAGAAAAAGAAGACGAATCATAATCAGACCCTTCCTCCAAATCAGAACCTGACAAATTACTTTCAGAGTCGACTTCATTTACAAACACCGTATTATCCACAGCTTCGCCAACGTTCGTTACATCATGGACACCAACATCCATCGCATTATTAAAACTGATATTTGGACCAAAAGGATAATTTGCATCTCCAACAACTACACCAGCACCAGGAATAGCATTAACACCACCAGAAGCACCAACACCACCAGAAACACCAACACCACCAGAAACACCTACACCACCAGAAACACCAACGCCACCAGAAATACGAACACCAGAAGACACCTTCTTCTTTACTTTACTTTCTTTGAGATAGCGAATACCATCAATCATTTCAGCTGCAGCTTCTTTATCTAATGAAAGCCACTCAGCAACAGAAATTCCTGATTCAGTACCCATCAACTTAGCCCAAATTTTTGATCTCTTGAATTTTACTGGGAGACGCCTAGCCTTCGGACGAGTCCTTTTCTTAACTAACTTCTTATTTCCAGTCAAGACCACAGGAACAGAAGGATTCACCCCAGGTTTCTCCAACTCAGAAGTAGCTCTTCTCTTCACACCATTCGCAAGAATTTCATTCGTAACGATACCACTCTTCGCTACTACCGTCTCCACCAGTTGTACTTCTTGGCCACCTTCTTGATTTATTGATTGAGGATTTAAATTTGTAGGAGCAACAGTCACCTCGTTTACTGTTGCTCGTTGCCTTTTCCCGCCTCTTCGGTACTTCCAATGGGAACCGCATTGCTACCAGTAGCAGGAGTAGACGAAACTTGATTTTGATCACGTAAGTACTTGGGGCATTCATATTTCTTATGTCCATCATCACGGCAATAGAAGCAAACAAAATTATTTCTTTGAGGAGCAGAACCATTTCCAACATAAGGAACATAGGGCTTAGGAGAAGCAGGCTTGGACGTAACATTTTCATTCAACTTAACAAGATTGATGCTGAGTTGTTCTAACTTGGCCACAAGAGAAGACATATCCGTGCTGGCAACACTAGCGGTATCCGAAAAATCATTTTTGAACGTATGATTTTGTGAAAAATCGGTTTTCAAATCACCAACAGGACCCGAACCAACAGCACCAAGACGAACAGGATCATACTTCAAGAAACTTTTCTCAATTTGCTTAGCCTTAATCTTAGCCGTTTCGAAAGAAACAGGAGTACCATCCTTTTCGACTTCAAATCCGATATTTGGACGAATAGCAGATAAAAATGTGCGAACTTGAAAAACTTGACTTTTGGTATCCAGCAACTCAAACAACTCTTCCATCTTCAAAGCAATGTCATCGATACTATCTTGCTCGCCTTGTTTCATGTTTTGCAAAGAAAACCACCATTTGTCTTCTTGGTCAACTAAATATTGTTTTTTAAACAATAGGACAAATTGGGACCAGGAAGTAGCCTTAATACCAACAACATTAAACCATGTTTCAGCCTTCTTTGTTAGATGATCACCAACCACGAAAAGAGCTTCTTCATCTGAAAGTTTAACGGATTTCTTATAGCGTTCCATTTTCTTCAGCCAAACATACGCTTCGTTTCCCATGTCTTCACCGACAACTGAGACACCCGAAAAATCCTTTGGCTCGACAATGCGCCAATTTGGTTTCTTGATAATTTCTACTTGATCAGAACTTGGAGGAGCCATTACAAAAATAATAAAGAGTACTATAAAACTTGAATACGAGTCAATAACCTTCTCTGGTAGATCGGACCACTTGATAAGGATCTGACTGTCTTTTATGTTTACCTTGTGTAGAGTACGAGAATAAACAATATATAAAATGATGGTTCAAGGAGACTGTAAAGACTTGATATCAGATTATACAAACAGAGAGAAGAGATTAAAATGCACTAGTAAGCAATGGAAAGCTGCCAAAGAAGTTATGTATCAAAAATAATAGAATATAAAAAATATAAACTAGGAAAAAGATAACCTTTATTCACTATCAATAAAATAAGCTTTTATAGCTGTCAAAAAAAAATATACACAAAAATATAAATACAAGATCAGATCGACCATTGTCAAACAAATAAATCATAAGTTAAAAATACGGATAAAATAAATGAAAGTATAAAAATAAAATGAGGGAATGAAAATAAATCAGATGTCAAAAATTCAAATAATAACATCCAAGAAATATTCAATACGACAATAGCTCCTCTTCTAACTGCGACAACTAGCAAAAACCGATTCTCTGGATTTATCAAAAATAGAAGATGGATTTCTCAAACTTGACGTGACTTCTAGAAAATTCATTCGGACTTTTAACACCAGATCTTCCCAGCGCAACAACAACAAGAAAAACAATTTATTCCTTAGACACCACTGAACTTCTTCCTCGCTCATTTCGACATTAACCTTCATAACACCTTCCAAAATCTTCAACCACCTTTCTCCTACTTCTTTACAATATATACTGTAAAACAAACACGTGAAAGTCACGTGTTTTAAGACTTCAAGCGAAACACAAGACCAAAATACGACCGTATCAATCATAGAAAGTCGCTTTGTCCGAGTGGTTAAGGAGTATGACTAGAAATCATATACGCTCTGCGTGCGCAGGTTCAAATCCTGCAGGCGACGACATCTTTTTGACAAAATTTCGATTTTGTAGTTCGTGTAGCTGGATTTTGTGTTAGAGGGTTTGTAATAGCTGTTATTATAAATAAAGTTAAATTTTTTATTGAATTATAGTCCTGCTATGTCTAAATAGAAGCTGCACGAGCTTAGTCTAAAACTATGTTAGCACTAATAAAATTTTAGTCATGTAAGTTTATATCTTTGAGAAGTACATCATTTGACCCCCCCCCCCCCAATACATTATATGTATCTCGCATTATCTACTTTTACTCTTGCAACATGATTTATAATGAGTTAAAAACCAAAAAAAAAGTATTACAGATACATTGTCTTCGGCTTACTTATGCATCCAAGTATATATCTATAAAAACTTAAAACGTACAATCACAGCCAATGATGAATGTTAAATAAATATTAAATCATTTATTCTAAAATGGATTTCCAAATATCGAGAAATTTGCTTACAGTAACATAGATCTAAAACATTGTGTATAAAACATTATATGAAAACATTTTTGTTCATCTGAAAGAACAACTGATGTATCTAAGTTAAAGATAGGAATGATTTGTATTACAAATCCTTTTTCTTTTTATTAACTTTGGGCTTCTCTTCTATAGATTGTATCATTTCTTCGTAGCTATTCCAACCAAGTGAGCTACTTAACACTTGATTTAAGATGTTGGAATCAGCCATACCCCGTGTACGACCCATGGCTTGACCAATAAACCACTTGAACAATTTCGAATCGCCATTTTGGACTGCTGTAGCCTAAAAAATTAATGAAGCAGTAAGCATTTAAAACACAAGTGTGGTTTTTCACCCACCTTTTTTAAATTTTTGTTGACCAATTCGTCACATAACACTTTTAATTTATCTTTGTCCGTAATCCTGAGCCAACCTTTTTCTTTTATAATATCCAGGGGGTCGGATGTATCGTCTAACATAAGCTTGATAACATCTTTGCCCGTTTTACCTGCAGAAAAAAATGAGAGGTCGTGTCTATAAAAGGACTATATTTGTGTACCTGTGATGGTCCCATTTTGAACAAGATCGATCAAATTACCAAATCGCTCGATGGATATGGGATTTTCTTGGAAAGAAATACCTTTAGAGGCCAGGGCACCAGAGAGCTCATTTAATGTCCTTATAGCAAAAATGAGGCCCTATACAATTTTAACTTATGATATTTGGTCTTACCAATTGGCAACTGCTTTGGAATTCCTGCCCGAAGAGACCTTTAGAAAGAAAATGTTAAAACTGGTTGAGCCTATTTTCAAAAAAAAAAAAATTACGTTTTCAAAATAATCAACACATTTGTATTCATGAAGTAAAAGATTTGCGTGTGTAAGATTAAGCCCATATTGATTCATAAGTCTATCTAAGCATTGATCGGGCAGTTCTGATATAGTGTTTCCGATCTTATCAATAAATTCCTATCCACACGTTAGTTAATATTGGGTTAAAAGAAAGGCACACAATCTAATATTCCGTACTTGCGATAAAATGAGAGGAGGAAGATCTGGCTCTGGCATATATCTATAATCTGGTGCATTTTCCTTATCTCTCAATTTAAATGTAACACCTTTATCTTCATCATATCGACGAGTTTCCACTGTGATTTTCCCTCCGCTTTCGATCACCTCTATTTGTCTTTTAATTTCAGCATCGATTGCCATAGATAATATACGAACTCGATTCAAGTTTTTTAATTCACAACGTGTTCCAAACTCTTCACCAATTCTGTTCACAGATACATTCACATCACACCGCATGGAACCCTCTTCTAAATTAGCTTTTGACGATCCCACCCATTGAAGGATATTTTGAAGCTTTTTTACAAGTAGACCTGCTTCAAAGGATGATCTAGTAATTTTTTTAGCAATTGAACAGGCATACTTATGTCGGCACTACCTTAAATCGGGCATAGTTACAATTTCCATTAGGCCAGTGCCTGCTCTGTTTAAATCAAGCAGCGTTTCTCCAGGTCTCATATCATGCAAACTTTTACCAGTGTCTTGTTCCAATTGCAATTGATGAATACCAACCTTCAATGGCTTCTCTGCGCCATCATTTTCTGTCAATAATATATACCCCCCTCTCGAGATAGGTTCTATAGATGTTGTTGTGAGAAGCACATCATTGTTCTGAATTGGTTGTCATACCTCGTTGTTGAGTGATCTGATACCCCTGAGGAAGATCTGGATAAAAATAATGTTTTCGGTCAAAAGTAGATTTTTTTTGCACATTGCCTTGTAATGCAAGTGCAGTTTTGACAGCTAATTCAACAGCGTGACCGTTTAAACGCTAACAAAGATACCAACATTAGTCGAATATGACAGGTGAAAAATATATAAATAAAATAACTTACAGGTTGAACACCAGGAAATGCAGCATCGATAGTAGATACGTGAGTATTAATTAAATCGTTATAAGAAGTTGAAGACCCTGGTAAAAACAAATAAAATTAAGGCACGGATGCATTTCATTCCTCTCTCTTTCTTTTACCAGAAAACAATTTAGTTTTTGTGTTCAATTGAGCATGAACTTCAATACCAATGACAGCCTCCCAACCTTCTTTGATTGACCCTTTGGCAGTACTGAGTAGCCTTTTAGTGGCATGCAGATGTCTAGTTGAGAGTTTGCAAGTTGAAATTCTCAACATTATGCTAATCTATTTAAACGTAAGAGAATTAAAATGGCCAGGCTTGAGATTAAAAATCAGCGGGATTAAACTTCACCCTGGAATCGGGCCAGAGCTATTTTGGTTTTCTGACAGAGCGTGTTTCCTTAAGCTGAGAAGCGACCTCTAAGAGGAGGAAACAACATTTCACTTTTCCTTACAATTGCAAATGATTTCTTTCCTGTTTTTTTTTTCAAGCCAGAATGTCCACGACATGAGACCGGTTAAATTTAGCTGGGCTCCCCTCTCGTTTCGATACGTTTGTCTTTAAAAATGCATTTAAGTCAAAAGGCCATAGATTAGACAGAATGTGTTCTATTTTAGTAAATGACCTTTCATTAAGTTGCTTTAAATAGTTTATAGTAAAGTTGTGACGAAAATTAAGAGCAGACCGTTGAAAAGGCAGTAAGGATTGACGAGGTTTAAGTTTCACAAAGAAATTGTAGACGGCCTCAGATATATACAACGCGAGTAACGGCAAGCATTAGAGCTTTTCGACCCGAATTTGTGCCAGTCGATCTTAAGCTCTTGTCCATCATAAAAGATAAAACTTTTATTGGTAATGGTTGTACAAACCACGTCTCAGCATTATCCTGTCTCTGAACTCGGTACAAGTCTTAAAAAGTGCTAGGATAATCGTGTTAGAAGATTAGATCTAAAAGGGAAATAATACTATGTTTTCAACACAACCTTCTAATGAAACACAATGTCTATATATTATAGAAAATTAGATCAATACGTTTTTTAGCTTGGGTGGCTGTTGCGGGGGAGAACATGCTTCATTTCGTTAATTAAACTCGGTTTCTGCATTTACCATAGCAAGTGACATACATTGGTTATTTGAGAGCTAGGTCTAGTAGCAGAACATTTGAGTTATTAGAGATATAAAAAATATACCAAGACGTATGAAACCTCTTTTGGGAAGAGCAATATTAAACGCCAGAAATTATTAAAAGTGAACCCAAGCAAAGTGTTACGCACCATATAAAGACGTTACAACTTGCTTCTCTGATGTACTTATATGGTATATGTCCTGCAAATGACCCAATAAATAATGTTAAAAAATTCTTCTACAACCAATTTTTTTATTTATGGAGGCATCTGCGAATTCGGTTGGATGAAAAAGTGAAAAGCCATATAATTTGTGCACTGAAGAATAAACGATAAACATATCCCTCTTATCTACGCTTACCAATCTGTATATTAAAATGTATTCTCCTTCACACATTTTATTAGAAAAATTATTATGAATTTCTATATTCTCTATATGAGACTTTTTGTTTTAATGGGAGGTGTTTATTTTTGCGAACAATAGTAAAAAAAGCGGGCTTCAAACACCTGATCAAATTAGCCTCGTACAGGTACTCAATTCTTCTTAGAAACTGGGTGGTATCATCAATAAGTCAGTAAATTGAAAGTAGAAACAAACAACATTTTATTTTTTTTTGCTATCAGAATAGCATCCTATCGTAAACCGGGAGTAGCTTACAAATTAATTTTACAAAGTTATCTTATCATCACATTTTTTAATGAAATTCGAAAGTCGCACAATAATCGCGATTGGATTAAGAACAAAAGAAAGTTAAAAAGGCGAATCATTGTGAGTGAAGATGGATCAAATAGACCTTATTTTGTGGCACTTGGTATTATTATAATCTTTTATCTTTTTTTTTTCTTTTCATTTCTACATGCCATAACCTTTTTCCCCTTTACACAGAACTTTTACATTCCACCCAACATCAAATTTTTTTAAGTGACATCCCAGAAAGAACGACAAATCCTCTTTTATAATGAGAGCAAATGCAAAGTTGATAGTTAGCTTAATCAAACGAATTGAAGTTCGAGTAATGTTTTTTTTCCAACATAAAAGAAACAGAATATTAATTTTTTTTAATAGCTACCAATAAACAACAACGGTAGAACAATTGAAAGTTTAGAGCAGGATCCAATAACTCAGCAAACAGGTATAATTTGGGACGCTAATACCATCTATTAAACTTTTATTAATTCTAAAATAGTCGCTGCAATAATTGAATTGTCTGTTTACAAATTACCTGTAATAGTTAACCAACTAGCTCTAGTATTAGAATCAATATCAAAGGTACTTTTTAAATTATCGAGTACTATTAGAGATATAACATATATTTTCTAGAATATTCAACCATTGGCACAAACATCAACTGAGCCATATATTCCTTTCGATGTATTACAATCTCAATTATTCATCATTCGACTTTTATCGGCTTGCTTGCAACACCAATGGACTTGGTTTAAAAAACAGGCACAGCGGATTTCTCAAGAGACAAATATCACAGAGGAAGCTGTTGCTGCCGCGGCAGCAACCGGTGCTTATAACGACATGTCAAACAGTAGCAATCTTTCATCTTCATCCAACTTATCAGACAAAACTTCAGCTCCTCATCGCTATTCACCAAAGGATGATGTTCAAATTGACCCTCCGCCTCTCGATGAAGCGTTGGTAACTTTTTTACTTGTCCTCATGAGTAGATTTCTCAGTCAGATGCATATATTAGAAGAACGTAATGAACAAAATGCTTTGTTATCGTCTGAACACACAAATGACGGCTTGGCAGCTGCATCTAAAGTAGATCCCCAAACCTTGGAGTATATCCGCGAGATATATAACACATCTGGGAAAGTACTGTATTACGTTAGTGCAAGCAACTGGCCTTCCTATTATGCAAAAATAAAGAATGCTATTAATATCCTTGGTGCCGTGAGTGAAAGCTCGGATTCAAATCCACCTGAGGTTAGAATTTTGGCATTTTCGTGTTTGAATATACCAAAATTACATACCGTGCTATCAGGTAAAACCTAAAAGGTGAAAAAACAAAACAACTCGTGACTCATTTATCTATTCAGATTTAAGCCCTTATTTCTTAAATATGAAAATCCAAGGGAAACTACAAGTATTATTCGCTAAAATGATGAGGATGGCAATTTGGAAGTGGATGGAAATGAAACCCTCTCAATTTGCAGCGATTTGTGCTAGCAGCAGCAGACCTTTGGCTGGTTCAGAGATTCTTTTTGACATGTGTAATGTTGCAGCCGACAATTCTCGAAAGAAATCGGTTTTGTGGCCGTTACAAACTATTCTTTTGGCTTTAACGCCTGATCTTTTAGTGCAAGCATTTTTGGATGATAGAGGTTTACAAAATCGAAGGGTAACACAGATCGTGTAACATGGACACATTATTCCATTTACTTTTCCAAATTTAATTTCTTTCTTTCTCACTCTATCTATAGACTGGCTTCCCTCGTCTGCTGAAAAAAGCGTTACAAGCTTCCCGAACTCAAGAAATTGCTGCCATTTGCTATGTCGATTTGTGTAAAGCTGCAACTTACATTTCTCCGAATGAAGATACGATTCTCCGCCATATTGCCGCTGATGTGGAAGATATTTTACGTGAAAAGGTTTGGGACTTTTCTCGAACTTCTGCTGTCGACAATTTATCCTCAACATTAGGATACACCATCAGTCATCAGGCACTAGTGACGGACTATTTTTTAGCGAGATTATGTTTAGATCCTAAAAAGACCCTTTCCACATTAGTCCCTACGTTATTAGAAGATGACGTCCCGACAGTTTTTAAACAGGCGTTTGTCAATTCATGTTTAACGATCGCACTGGAAGAAAGAACGTTACCCTGGAACCCAACAATTAATTTAATGTACGATTCTATTTGTGCACCCTTGAGACGCATATTTGTGCAGGCAGTAAAAGTTGAACTCAGCGCTGGATCTTCCAGATCGGATATTTCCAACACGACATCTGGGTCTAAAAAATTGAATGGCAGTGGAGAGAAAAAACTGTTGAATGTAACGGCCTTGCTTCAAAGCATGCTTAAGTTGTTCAAATTGGATCCATTATGTGTTCTACTTGTAAGATCAAGATATTTTGCGTTTGTTTCAAAATTTTTTGACAAGTCTTTTTTTTATAGGGAGGTACAGATAGCAACAATTGCGTAGAAGAAAATGCAACCATAATGATTTCTTTGATCAATTTGATGAAGCACAGTGACCGACGTGTACGACGAAGCGCTGCTGACTGTTTAATACAACTGCATGATTCCTCATTTATTGCTCACTGGGGACCATCCATCACTTTAATTAATAATTTCTGGAAAATATCATCACAGACCGTCTTGGCCATTGCTCGACAAATTTTGGACAACAGACAAAATGAAGAATTTTTGAAATCCTTATTAGAGCTACTAGCGAAGATACTGATATCTAGAAATTCCTTTTTAAGAAGTATTCTGGTAACTATGATGTTGTTTTGCGTATTTATATATTTCAGTTTAGCTAAAACAGAAAAAATGTAATCCAGGAAACTGCGCATGAAAATACGGATGGTCATGATCGTCTTCAAGCCGGTGTAACACTCGAGATTGCGCTGTTGGTATCTTTGTGCTCGCCGATTCCCGACATTTGCTCAATCGCTACAAAATGTTTAGGCTATATGTGTATTGAAGCAAAAATGGTAGATGAGGACAATATGGTGGATACAGCCTCAAGAGTCAGTCAAAACATAATTGGGTTCAATCATAACATTGAAATATACGAGGACCTTTCGTACGAAGAGCCTGTTAGTCATGGGAACCGAAAACAACCTTTTGTGGGGAGAAAAGCTCAACAAAAGCGAGTTCGTAAATACCTACGCATGATAACGACGCCAACGCCTGGTGTTTTAGCCTCATGGGAAGAAGTATGGCAGCGATGGAAGATATTAACACATACAGTTAGTCGTTTTGGAATGGACTCCCTTAGAGACTTAAACGAAGCCGTAAATTTACCCATAGCCTCGGCATCATCTGTAAAAAAAATTGGAGGATTGGTCAGACATGATAAGTTAAGATCATCATCAGTTAGAACAGCGGTTGCACCAGTTCCAGTAGGTCGGATTGAAACTGACGACGAAAAACAAACGGAATGGCAAAACTACACTGGATTCTTAGCGTCTCTAAGTGGTTGCCGCTTAGCTGCGGATATGATCGACGATGATTTTTACATGGAAGATAAGCGCTCTAAAGGAGGAGACAATCGAATGGGATCACCAAATAGACCCATCATTATCGTCGAAAAGTTTATTATGGAAATGATCGAATTGCTGACTTCCGAAAATGTGGTTATAAGGGAAGGCGTAAAAGACACATTAGGTGGCGATCTTTCACCTGCACTCTACGCTACGCTCTTTCGACACCTCGAAATTAATATGGCCAGTTGTTTTACTACAAACGGCGAAGTGTTATGTGATAATACAAATACACTTTTTGTTGAGCAGGTTGTGTTGGTGTTGAAGATGATTTTGGACCGATTAACAGATCCTAACGACTGTTTGCTCAGTACCGATTTTAGCACATTAATTCTTCAGGTCGCCAATTATATCAACCGACTACCCCATGAAAATTATACAACTATGCGTGTTATGATTATGATGTGCCATCTGACCGAGGTTCTTATGCTGAAAAAAGAGCAAGTTATTGTTCGTGACGATGTTCGTGTCAGAAACAAGCTACTTGAAATTATTGTTGAATGGACCAGTGACTTTACTTTAGTGAGTAGTTGTCTATACATAAAAGACAGTTTATTAATGTTTGATTATTAGCACGTTATGAACAAGACTTCAATAATCTCAAGCAATCCCCAAAATAAGGAGGTTCAACGGGATCTTGATCAAGTTTGCCTAAAGGCTATTGTCAGTTTATTAGATGGACTTCCTCTTCAATCTACTGAAACACAGACAAGAGACACTGATCGCAGCTTAATCAAAAGTAGATTATTCCAGAAGTATTTTGCATTCTTCACGCAGCTATTAGACAGATGTCATCGATACGAGGTATATAGAAGTTTCTCTCTCCCTCTCTCTTTTTTTCATTACTGACATTTACCTACAGGCGGAAGCAACTACAGTTGTAAGACCTAGCTCTAGCATTTTAATCAAGAGCCATCGAGATTTACACACCCTTTCCATAAAGCCATCCGATTCCTACCAATACTGGGGACCGTTAAAGGAGTCTGCCGTCAATGCAATTTCTAACCTTTTAAATGCCAACGTTGAATCAGGTTTAAAGTCTTCACTTGCTATGGGGTACCATGAAGATCTGCGTACAAGAACTGCTTTCATACAAGTTCTAGCAAATATTCTTAATCAAGGTGCCCAATTTGATACTTTAGCCGAAAATATTATTACAGATCGTTACGATAAACTTGTTGAGGTATGACAAAAGCTAAAAACAGGAACCGCAAATTAAATTTACTTTGTTTAGATCCTTGTTGAGTCCGATATAGAAGTCGCACTTTCCTTGTGCGACGTTTGTCCAGCAGCTGACGCCGCTGGTGTAGCAACTGTGCTACTAGCCTGCTTTGAGTCGCGAGGTAAAGTTTTGGATTTTCTGAAGGCAATCATTGATAAAGAGGTTCATTCTACAGGTAAATGACACATTCAATTGAAATGATCCGTTATACTAACTCTAATTAGAACAAGAGGCTACTTTATTTAGAGGAACAAACATGGCAACAAGAGCTTTATCTATATTTGCTCGTGAAACATGTGTTGATTATATTCGTTTTACTCTTCAACCTGCATTGGAAAAAATCAATGCATTACCTGAAGATAGTTTAACTTGGGAAATGGATCCTCAGAAAATTGGTCCCAACGAAAGTATCGCGAGAAATAAGCAGAATGTTTGTCGTGCAACAGAATTATTGTTAGAGGCTATTTGCAACTCCATACCAATTGCTCCAAGGTAATAAAAAAGAAAAAGAAGAGAGGAATTTTTTAGTTTAGTACTGATATACAATTTTCTTCAGGTTATTCCGTCAAGAGCTTGCGCTTATTGTAGATGCCGTAGAAAAAAGATTTCCTGATGCCTTGAAGACTTCTGTTGGTGGATTTGTGTTTTTGAGATTATTTAACCCCGCGATCTTAACACCAGAAAATTCTGGCTTTTCAAAACAGGCTTTGCCCAAATCAAAAACGGTTCGCAAGTTACTACTTCAAGCGACCCGAATGATGCAAAATTTAGCAAACAATATGATGTTCGGTGCAAAAGAAACACATTTAATTTCTTTAAACGATTTTATCACTGGAAATCTCTATCGGGTTGCAAGCTTCTTACGCGAAATATGTGTCGTCCCCAATTTTGAAAGAGAGACTGAAAGCAAGCACGATAACCGAAACCCGAGAATGGATAATGCTGGATTTATGAACCTGCATCGCTATATGTCTGATAATCTCGATAAAATATCCAGAGACTTGTGTGTCCGTCGTGCTAGAAGTAGCACAGATACGCAAAAGCTCTTGGAGTGGAAACGAATTATGGATAAGTTCTCAAATTTATTGGCCCAGCTAGGAGCTCCGTGTGAAATTGCGCAAAATGAGTTATACACTTCAAGAAACTATGCACTTGTGAATAGCAATAATTATTACAGCGAGTTTATGCGTAGAAATAAGAACCGAGATGTAAGCTCTATCAGCTCTTTGAATGTCTTTTATCAAGGTGGTATATCTCGTGGCGGGTTTCCAGTCTTCTATCTCATTCCACGCAACATATCTGGTGAAAGCTTTGATTTTGAATTGTTAATCTACTATATGTTGAGAGTAAGCTTACAACCCAAGAAATATCAGGTCATGAGGAGCTAATTTTTATATTTAGGTCATGGAGCCACATCTGAACCATCCATTTGAGCTTTTATTTGATTTGACCCGCGGTGGTGCTCATTGTGAAATCCCAGTCCACTGGCTGAACCAGTTCTTCCAACTCGTTTTTACTGAAATGAATGACCATTTGGTATATCTTCATTTATTCAATCCAAACTTTCATTTGCAGCGTTATATTCGTAAATTTCCTCGAATACTGACTAACAAATTAGTTAAACGGACCCGGTCTGCCATCAGTATCAGCGAATTAAGTAATAGCATTGCTTTGTCTGAAATTCGTTTACCAAAAGACTCCTGTAAGTTATGCATACCTTTTTACAATCGATTCATCAACTGATATATTTGTTTCCATTTAAAGATGACATTGAAAAAGAAATGGGAATGACTGTTACAAATGCTTTCCTGATTACCAGCTTCAAGACACATATACCTGTTAGCATAAAGATCGGATCGGAATACTTCCAAGTCACTACGGTACAAAATACATATGTAGCGATGTATGTCCTGTTACTGACAGAAACCCCTATAGATCCGCGATCAAGAAATTTTCTGGAGTTTAAACACAATTTTAAATAACGTTTATAATTTGAATGATCTGATTGACATATTTTTGCCTTCTGTTCCGGCAAATAAGAGAGCATCAGGAGAAGGCGAGATACATATTACGCACGATGGTGGTGCTGCTACGATGATTCTTTCGGTGCCGAATCGGGACGCTGTTTACAAAGTAAGTACATTTTAAAATTATACAAAACAAGTAATATGTCACTCACAATATGCGCTTTAGTACTTAATGGATCGAAAAAAGACTTTCGATACTCATCTTACAGATCGCAATCATGGTATACGACCAACTGATGTTCCTGGTCGAATTTTGAACATGGCGTTACTTAATATCGGAAGTGATAATCCTACCCTTCGACTAACTGCATATAATCTACTCTATTCATTATGCGTATCATTCAGATTTGGTATTAGCCACCAATTGATGAATGCCCGAGGTAGGTACTAAGCGTTGAAACGTTTAAATCAACTCTAACAATTTTGTGATGCATACTATAGATTTATGCATTCCTTACAACAGTGTCAACTTTATTGTTAGCACGAGTGAGCATCTAGCTAATAGCGAAACTCATTTGACATTAGAGTTTTTGAATGAATGTATAGTTGGGTTTAACAGATCAAGCACAGAGACATCTCGACAAATTATTACGTTGGAATACATGGTACCGTGGTTGAAGAATCTTGTCTTCTTTACCTACTCTCTTAACGGAAAAGATGCATCAAAGGTAAAAGATGTCATTCGATCTTTGATTACTATCACAGCTGAAAAATCCGAGGTAAATATATGAATCCATTTTTTTTAGATAAAAACAAGGTTTTATTAACAAAGAACATAACAGGTGTACGAGCATATTCAAAAAAATATCTGGAATACTTTAAAGGATATCGATGAACTTCATAACTTAGTGATTGATTCACTTATTCAGTTCTCAGTCGAAAGTGGTATTGGGTCACCGCAAGCGGAAGCTATTGCTGATACGCTTGTTACAATGAATTGTAATGCTATCCGAGGAAAAGTGATTAACCGAATGCGCAGAGTACTTCAAAGTACGTCTCACAACTGCAAGCAAACCCTAATCAAGCATCAATCGTGGCATGAAATTGGTTGTTTGGTGCGCTTCATGCTCACCATATCATTTTATACTGAAGACATTGAAACACCTTATGTCGCAGAAATACTCCACATTATATCGCTGGTAGTCTCAACCGGACCAACCTTTATTCGATCATCTGTACATGAACTTGTTGTGAACTTTATTCACGCACTTGTAACAAACAAAAATATCCGCCCGGAAAACCGAAAGAAGCTGAAATATGTCTTGAACGATGTCTGTGACGGAAAGTATCGTGTACATTTTGGCCTTAGTAAATCCTATGCCAATGCGTTTACAATTACTGAGGAGACAATGACAGACAATGTTGAAAACATGAGCCTGGGATCGCTTGAAGTAATTGTTCGTCTTTTATTGGATGCTACAAACTATGCTGCACCAACGATAGGTAATATTTTGCTACTTTTTACATACAACAACTGTCTTTTTTAACATCAAAATTATAGATGCTGCAAATACATGGCACGCTCGATGGATGAGTTTAGTTACAAGCATGACCTTCCGTTTTAATCCAGCTCTTCAGCCTAGAGCTTTTGTTATTTTAGGTTGTCTGGCGCAAGACGAAATTGATGATGATCTTTTGTTTCAAATTTTAATTGTGCTTCGAAATGAATTAGCTCGCTTTAAGGAAACAGATCCTTATTTAATAATAAGTATTATGATGTGCCTAACCAATATTATCGACAATCTCTCGGCAAACTCAAGATATTTGAAGCCTATGTTCTGGCTGGCTATTTCAATGATCCAGATGAATCATAATAGCATTTTCTCTCATGCCGTTAAACTGCTTCATGCAATCTTGCGTACTTTAGATGCACATAAGTACTTTAGCAACCAATCCATCGAAAGTGCATTAATGGAAGCTCGGGCGCCTTTTGCTTCAGTATCCCAAGAAATTGATATAGCTGCTGGACTCAGTTTTAATACACAGTTCTCTTTTGCAATTGCAGGTGTTTTACTAAAGGGGTTCAAATATTCTGATGCCAGAGAATCCATATTCATGTGTCTAACAACCTTCCTTGAAATCGAGACAAAAAATGGGCGGCCATCAAATACAATTGATGCAAGATGTCTTGGTTACCTCAGTGGATTGTTGCCGTTTGCTGCTAAAAATGATGCGCTTAGAGAACTGCTTCGCCTGGCCGGTATTCATGATATTGATGTGGATAGTTTTAACTCACCTACTCAATTGTATGCGACAATATGGCGTGCGATTGAAATACCTAACAATACCACAGGTATTCTATTGGTGTCATTTTTAGTAGGAATGATCAGTCTTGCTGAGAACGAAGCCGAACGCCTTTTCTTGTACGGGTTCTTATCCAGAGCCGCTATTTCAACTCCGGAAGTGTTTGCATTAGTGTAAGTCTTTTTTGTTCTTGCCATAAAAATACGTTAACTTTGTATTTACTTATGTAAAAAAAAAAAAAAAACAATAGATACGATTCCCTTATACCCAAGATGAACTCTATTGTTGTATCCAGTGATAACGTCACATTAATTGAAGCAGTCAAAAACATTTTGATCACAGCTTGTTCAGAGCCTGCTTTTATCACAACCGAGAAGTCAAGTCATCAACGTCTTTATCTTGACCGAATCGGTTTTAATGCCCTTGCCGAGATTAATTTTGGCTCCATGAACTCTTCCACTGCTGTGAACTCTAAATTGATTAGCGAGCTGCTGCGATTAATCTGTGAGTAGTAGTCATAAAGAAGTGATAGCTTTGTCGTACCCATTCGCCCCCCCCCCCCTTTTTTTACGTACCCCGAAATCTTCATTCATACTTTATGTAACATTATTCTTAACTTCTTAATTCTTCTCAACATTTAAATAACCATATGCCCTAATGACACGCTTTTAATATATACAATCATACACAGTAAGATTTCGCCAAACATTATGTACATTTGAACATCCATTACTCGCCCAAATAAATTACAAAAGACATAAAAAGTTTTTAAATAGACTGAATATAGTACTATTTTCAAGCTTTGAAGCTCACGAAAGGTATTCGATGGGTGTCGATCCAGTGCTTTGCGCAGGCCAGTACTCAAAACATTTGATTTAATAAATCTCTTACAACCATCTGCTATGAGCCTCCGTATGACCTTTGGACACCTTGTTTGTGGAACAGAAAGTTTCTATTACAATCACTATATATTTATACTTTCAAACTGTGGGTAGAATTAATCTGCCAAAATGTTGATATAAAAATTTGGATAACCACGTCATGGGTGATCGTTAAAAATTTGTGACCTCCCAGCTTATATAATTCTTCAAACAAGAGAAATACTGACCCCTCTTCAACATTTTCTCGGCTGGATAAATTATACTAAATGTATTATAATAGTACCGGTGGGGAAGCACTAATCTATCATTATTTATTCAAGTTTCTGTATCCAGATATTAAACAGCAAAATTACTATAATGGTTTGTTCATGTTAGATGTTATGAATACAACACACAATTCTTCAAAATGAATGGCATATGCTTTTGTGGTCACAGACACTTATTATAAAAACCATGTTTCTGGCACTTCTCATTTGAACGCAAATACCATTGTGTGACAATCTAGAGAAATAACGATCATGGCGCTTAGAATACGATTTAGGTATGTGGATTTATCTGAAGTTATATATATATATATATATATATATAAGTTTAAAAGAATTGCCAAAAGTCAATCCACACGTCAGCCTAAAAAAAACAAGTCATTAAAAAGACGCCATAAATTTTAAGTGTGATTTCTAGGTTTAAGCTCATGATAAATGAAAACATTAAAAATCATTTAAGAAATGCGACAGTGAATTAAATAGAATTATGATCAAGCAAGTTTTAATTTATCACATTCTAATTAATTCCACCATAGAGCTTAGGGCACACGTGAAAAACTATACGGCCCTTAGTAGTACATGTATTAACCAATGCGATTGATTCTATTCATTTTAGGTTCTCCAATAAATATGAAATCCAACATAAATTTATTTTGTAATTCATTTTAAAGGTAAATTTATACATAAAGGGATTTTTCTTTTCTTTTTCAGCACCTTTCTTTCTTAACATGAGATGTTCTCACCTATTTTTAAAAACCATCTCGATTGATTTAATTGAAAAAAAAAAGATTGATGCTGTCTTTGCTCTTTGTTGTTTTCATTCGCGTATTTTTTTTTCTTTACCTAAAACAATATGAGCCATAATTCTACATTTTGGAGAGTTTGTGATAGTTCAGGTGTATGTCACTGTGATTGGCGCTATACTATTGTTGATTGCGAGGAGGAAAAAATAGCGAGATCAGTTTATACCGCCACCGCTGTTGTATCTGGAATATTTACTATAGCCTTATCCCTCATACTTTATTACCGAATAGGCCTTGGGACCCAAAAGGTTATTGAGATGAGAAATGGATTCCCGAGACCGAGACCTATAGAATCTATGAGTTTATGTGGCTTATTATTTAATGGCAGTAAGTAGAACAACAATTTTTTTTTATATACAACACCGTTTTATTAAATTATATCGCATCACTAGTTCAGACGATACATTCTATATTCATGTTAACAGATACAATCCCCAATCCTATATTTCGAGCTGGTAAATATTTTATTTGTGTCATTAAAAATTCTGATGCTACACAGTGTACCAAAAAAGCTTGTATTGGCTATTTATGCACCTCATCGGATTTGGATGGACACAAAGTGTTGGGTACTACGTCAAAAGGCTAACTTTTATATATTTATAATCCTGTAGTTTCCTATGAATGTGGTCTGCAATTAGGGTATCATTGTTTTGCACTATATCTTTTTGGTATCGCTTATGCTCTATCAGAGGTATATATAGATGAAAGTTTTCGGTTTTTGCACGTACCTTATTATTTTTTGTAAATTCCATATAGAGTAGCCGAGTAATATACAGCACATGGGTCAGGTCTCAAACTTTGGTTAATTGTTTATGCGTGACATCGATTATGGTGCCGTTTCTCACTACTACGCCATGCGCTACTGCCGCGGGAATATTTGCATACCAGGGCAATAATGCAATGGCATCCCGATTCACTAGAGCACAATACACCTGCTGGGGTATTTATTGTGGCTATATAGGGGCCCTTTTATTATTTGCAGGTGTGCGTTTGCTGCATTTACTCAATAAGTATATCCATATGCAATCAAATTTAAAGATTGATACATCAAAAGTGAGAATTGGTGCTCTTAAGGTTAAAATTATTGTGATATGCGGTACCGCATGTATGTGGGTCTTTGCTCTCTTATTAGGTCTTTATGGTAATTTTCGGGATCAAATCATGGAGTCTGTTTTTACAAATATGTTGGTTTCCGTTCTTTGGTTATTTGCAGGCCCCTTTGCTTGCTTTTTTATCCTCATTGCCATTGTTTTAAAGTAAGAAGAAGAAAAAAGACATGCAGAGATGTATGACAAAGTTTATTGAATTTTTTAAAATGTATTTTTAGTCCAGAACTCGCTACACAACTAGGCTCATTATCCATTATGAATTCGACGGATGAATCTGCAGATAGTAGCAGGAACATCGGATCATTTGAGTTAGGGTTGTCAAAAAATCCAAACAGTCGAGCAAGTCAATTTATAGTCACATCATTATCATCACCAGCAGACAATTTAAGAATATCTCACGATGGCATCAAAAGGCCAGACGCAGCTTTTCATAATTTGAACGAGAGTTTGATGGAAGTCGATAAAGAGCGATCCAAATACAATGCAGCCATCGAAAGAGTTCGTACGCCACCACCTTTTCACAAATAGTTTACTCATTTTGTTATGAGGTGCTGGTAGAGGCGATATTTTTATTCCCAAAACATATATCCAAACATTTGACCGATGTTTAAAAGAAATAAAATTCCAAACGAAAAACTTTTCATCACTTCTTTTTGAAGTTCAACAAAGGTTTCGCTTTCATTGACTTCAAGTGTTGAAGATACATTTATGCATTTATCAACTGATTTGCATTCGTTTACTCGAAAAAAAAAGGTAGCAGCAGGTTTATTCGAGGAAATTGCATTGAAGAGCAATGGCTATTAACAATCAATTTTCCTCAGCGACAATCAAGGTGCCCGTAGTCACGGCCTAGGCTCAAGTGCCTTGACTGACTCCAAGAGGTCCTTATAAGTTTATTCCTTAATATATATGCAAAATTGTTACAATACATATGTGGTGATTAATTTTGGGTGTACTCTAGTTTACTTTTGACGTCTATTTAGGCTTTACCCTGCTATTTTTGCCAATAATTAAGACTAAACAAGCACAAGAGCGAGAAACGTGTCAAATGAAGTATAAATTGTATAGTATATATTTATCTATAGCTATTCTATTTGTATGTTTTTGATTCCGATTCAAGCCAATATATCAGTGATCTTAGAACTTTGTCCGAAACTTATCTACAATTTCGCTGTCTTCACTTTTTTAGAAGAACAAACGTACTTAAACAGTTCTGAACTTAGTTCTTTTGTTTGAACTACAAAAAAACAGTAAAAAAATTGAATCATGTATTACTGTTACTAACAGTCAATAACTTGTATAAGATCAGTGCTTTTTTTTTGTCCTTATATGTGACTATTTACCAATAAGTAAATGATGATTTACTAAATGCAGCAGTTTTTAGATGACAAGTTGTGTATTTTTATCTACCACATGTAGCAGTTTTTTACATAAACTAAATGAAATGGCAGAGATGCAAAATAAAGCTGGACAAAAACTCAAATAATGCGCCGCATCAGTCACAATATAACGTTACAACTGCTACGGAATCTTTCTTCAGAGCGAGACTCCTTTGTATCTATCGATAACAGAAATAGTTCCTCTCTGGCAGACAACATTTCTTTTTTGTCCTACGCAGATTTTCTCATTTTCGGGTTATACGATTGCTTTTCATGATTAATAAATTGCATCTACAAACTTTTCAAATGTTTAATTATGATAAACATCGATGCGTCATGTATCCTCTTTGTTTGTCAAAAGAGATAGGATATAAGTTCGATGGTTTAACAGAGAGTTTTATTTTCCAATCAGCCGCTGAACGTAATACAGACTCACAGAAATGCATTGTAACTGGAATGCTCCACACATCTGTAGGTGTTAAAGAACCAATTTTTACTAGCCTCATTGTTATGAATAATAAACAAAAAACTACAATAATAGTACTTGTAATAATCCTCGTGCCACAGCATCTTAGAGTTAAGACGCATGAAATTGAAACAGATATGAAAAAAGTACCCAGCCAGGGTACAAACACGCATGTATTTTTTACCGTGATGTATGTATTACGTTGAATTTAAATTATTACGTGGCAAGGCTTAATATTAGTCAGAACGTTCTCTGAATATGAAAAAAAAAACAATAAAATATCACTGTCGATATAAAGTACTGCATGGTTGTGATGAGCTTTTTGTTTAAATTTTTTGGGAATAGCATAATTAACAGTGATATGGGCTAAGTAGATTTTAATTGATTAAACAAAATATACAATTCGGGTCAATCAAAAGTGTTTTTTCGTCCATCTCACTTGATTTTATGATAAATGATGCTATATGCACGATACGTTGTCGTCATTCAAAATCACAACTTCATAAAGGGCATATACCACTCTGAATCCAGATGATGCGTCAATGAATTAATATCTTTTTTCTGGGTCTCCAAAAGTACCTATATTTTAAGACACAAGCCTAGAAAAATTGAGTTTGTGCGTGATATGCAGGTTGCTCACGAATGGACTCCATACTATAGTTATTTAATTTTACACAAACAGTTTTGCGTTGCTCACGTTACCAAGTCAAACGTATAGACGCACAATGAACATTGTACTTACAGTTCGTATAATCTAAGTTATCACATTTTCAAAGCATGGGGGGGGGGGCTGTGTGGCCTGTGTAGCCCGACTAGTATGGTTACATAGAAAGAGTTGGTTTTTAACTTGCGCCTTGTTTATCGAAAGGCTGGTTTTCTAACATTTTATTAAACTGCGAAGCGTTTTAATTAAATGGGTACTCCTGTCCCGGTTTCCCAGTTTTTGGTCTATTTAATAAATTTGTGATTACCGCCTATCCAATTTCAGAATAGTATTTTGAAGCGCAATCGATCACTGAGATTATTTAGTTATTACGTTTCCTTTTTGGAAGCAATACTACCTCAATATTGCATTGGAACACTCTCAATGGGTTCGTTTAAGAATACTTTAGTCTAAATTAAATCCGCCGTTACATTTTAAAAAAGGTAGACACCAATTGAACCATGAGAATCTGTTCCAAAGCGCATGATTAGACGCCATACCCCACTTTCACTTGATTAAATACCCGCTTCTGTTAATGAATTAGATGACCTTTAGACCGTACCAAAACTTAGTTTTTTTTATGTCATCGGAAGAAGATTTAGACTCTAATAAAGTATGTTGCTAAGTTTCATCTTATCTATAGCCCGAACCATGGCGAAAGTTTTAGGGCCAAAATAATGGGGGATCTAACGCACACACCCTAAATTAATGTTATACCAACACGCCAAGTGAGGCTAAAAGCAGATGAGTCATGGCCTTTTTTTAATGCATAAATATTATCTGCCTACCACTTAGATTAATTTCGTGTCTTATCTGATTCTGAAGAGTTCCATGCGTATTACCCGAAAAGCACGCGATTTAATGGTGCTCAAACTTAAACAAGGGGTTTAGATGTCATACGTATTATAATAAGAATCGATGCAGTGTAACAAAGTCGATCCGAGAAACTTTAATGTGCTAGTGTCATTTTAGGGGGGGAGAATCTGATAAGAAAAAAAAAATGTTTCATATGGAATAAAATTTTATTTTTAATTTATTTCATAAGGGAAATTTAGCAAAAAGTGTTGGTATAAACAACCTCAGACTTTTTAAATCCATTGAATTGAGAGGCAGCACAAACAGTGTAAGCGCCCATGTTCTCATAATAGAGCCAGTCTCCGGGTTCGAGCTTGGGCAAACGAGTAGACTTGTTTAAACAATCAATGGAATCACAAGTAGGTCCCCAGACACTACTTTCGAAATTAGGTTCGCACACATCTTGGCCAAACGTAAAGACCTCATTCTTCATCAACACCTTGGGTTCCACGATCTGATGATCGAAAATGATGCAATTAAAAGAACCGTACATACCATCATTGACATAGTACATGTATTGCTCGGGAGTTTCCTTTTCAATCTCCTCTTCAACAGCAGGAGGCAAAGTAACAGATCTTCTACCGATAATATTAGTGCAGATAGTAAAAGCAGATGCAACGTAATAACGACCGGGTTCGGCAATGACGCGAATATCAGCAGGGAACAAACGATCGACCACGGGACCCAAGACAGCAGCTACCTTTTCAAAAGTGATGCCATTCTTCACGTCAGCACCAGGGAAACCACCTCCGACGTCAAGAAGTGTGAAATTGAAACCCATGGCTGCTGCTTGGTCAAAGACATTTCTTGCACTGATGACAGCATCACAGAAAGCGTTTTCATCAAGACAACCACTACCGACATGGAAACTAACACCAATAATGTTCAAGTCTAACTGTTGAGCTGTTTCCAACAAGTGTTGAACCGTATGCAAAGGAGCCCCAAATTTAAGACCCAATTGACAGAGAGATTGAGAGTCGTCGGTCAAGATACGCAAGATGAGTTCAGCGTCAGGATAAAACTTTTTAATCTTGTGGAGTTCTTCAGCATTATCAAATGTCATGCGACTGACATTTTGTTGGGCAGCGTAACGAACAAAGGAAGCTTGTTTGCATGGATTAGCGTAAACGATACGATTGGATTCAACACCAACGTCCAAGACTTGTTGAATTTCTTGTTTAGAAGCACAATCAAAACCACAACCCAAGGAGGCTAACAACTTGAGAATCATTGGATCTGGATTACACTTGACGGCTTTTGTAAAATAATTAAACTTTGTGTCTCCAACGCAATAAAACGGGACTTACCAAAAAAGGGTTCTATTCTAGGAAGTAAAGATTTCCAACGCAAATGTTGACGGAAAACTTCACCTAAATCGCCAACAAAAAAGGCGTTTTCTTGATCAGATTCCCATTGTTGATTGGTAATAGCTTCCAGTCGTTGCTTAGTTACTTCACAGACGGATCTGTTGTAGACATTGACATCAGGCGAAGGGACAGACTTGAAGAGGTCTACCATATCATAGGGAGGAGCAAGAACAACGGTTTCGAGATTGGCGTGCATTTTTTTGAGGGATTAAAGGTAGAAAAAAATAAAGATGGATAAAGAGAGAGAAAAGGGTAGAAAGTTTGAGTGTGTTTGAGAAAGAGATAGAGAAAGAGATGGAGAACTAGAAAAAGAATGGACTTTTTATAGTTCTGGGGCAATAGTTAGAATAGTTAAAAGGTAAATAGGAATTTGATGAAAGTAATGAGTTTCAAGAAAGCCAAGGAGGGAAGCCTCGCCGGTCAAATAAACTGTCTAAAAGTCTTGTTTCTGAGGCCGTGATGGGCAAGGACGGACTGAGCAGTGATGCAGTCCGATAGAAGGAAAGTTTAAAAAAAAGGGTGATTGGATTGAGAACTGAAAATACTTTATGAAGGAGTATTACAGCAAGGATATTTATATGAGTTATTTCTTTTTTTAACGTTATATTGCGGTTCTTTTGCGGTTGGACCTTTATATGAGTTAAAAAAAAAAAAGAGAGAGAGAGAAGCAACAAAGAGGGAAATTTTTTTTTTTTTTTTAAAGTCTACGAGAAAAAGTTTTTTTTTTTTGATGACGGATGACTGGATAATCTAACAATGTTTTTACAAAAATGGAAATTCTGGTCCGCCTATGATCTTCTCGTCAATAATTTTTCTGTAATTTGGATTAACGCTGATCGTGCATCTGAAGGTGGTAACTTGTGTAAAGCATCAGTAGCGTATTTACAGTGAATTTCAGCAAGATTTAACGTCTTTTTTAAACCATCACTTTGATAAACAAGGTCTCTGGCCTGGTTAAAAAAAAAAAAAAAAAAGTTAAAAATAAACCTTCTTCGGGTTTACAAAATTCTTTTTTACCTTTTCTTCGTCGCCCTTCTTAGAAAATTTGCGCTTAATCAAAGCCTCTAACTCTGGGTATTCTTCCCATGCAAATAATACGGGCGCTGTGGCAAGTCCCAACTTCAAATCTGCACCTGCAGGTTTACCAAGCTCAGCTGCGGTAACTGTGAAGTCCAGCATATCATCCACAAGCTGTCGAAAATAAACAGGGGTGCAATAAACAAAAAAAAAAAAAAAAAAAATTTAAATTAAAAAAAAAAAAACTATTGTGTACACTTTTCTTTTTGGTATTACCTGAAAGGCTAGACCCAAATTCTTTCCAAAATCAAATGCAACTTCAGCAACATCTTGAGTGGATCCACCCAACACAGCTGAAGCCTTACAACTTTGAGCAATCAAACTACCCGTCTTCATATATGTCTTATCCATATAATGATCAAACGTACTCAATTTTTTCACTTGTCCGCCCGATTCTTCTTTGGTGTTCTTTAACTGCATAAATTCACCTTCCACTAAATTCGCAATACAAGTCGCCATTAATTCGATACATTCTGCATTTCTTAATCTTGCTAACGCTAATGAAGCTCGGGCCAATAAAAAGTCACCACCCAAAACTGCCATTCGATTTCCAAAACTTGCATTGGCTGAAGGTAAATTTCTTCGGGTCATGGAAGCGTCAATCACATCATCGTGTAATAAGGATGCAGTGTGGATCATTTCTGAAATCTCCGCCAAGCGACGTTGTGTGGGTAGAATCGTGCATCCTTGATCTGTCACGGAAGGTGTATAATGGGTTTTGCGATCAAAGACATCATCCGTGGTGATATTTTCCAAACCGTGTGATATAGGTGTGTCGATTGATTGGTAGTCAATATTGGCTTTCAATTGTTTCTTGTCGGCGATACTCGTTGCCTGTGCAATCAACAGCACCAATAAGGGTCGGATATGTTTACCTTCTCCACTAAAATAATGTCTAGCAACCGTATCCAAAAATGGATGGCCGCTACCCAACAACTTGGATATGTTGGCCTTAATCTCTTTTAAATCATCTCCTACTAATTTGGCTGGGTCAATGATTCGAGCAGGTTTCTCGTTCTTATCTGTAACAAGGCTCTGAGCTTCTTTAATGGCTTGGTTCCAGCTGGCAGCTCCTCCAGTGAAAACAATCTCTTCTCTACCTTCCTTTCTATCAGGTACGCCTAAAACAGCCGACTTTAAAGTGTGCGCCAGTTTACCCAATACTGGCATGTCGGTGCTTTCACTGGGTGAAGCTGCACCGCGTAATATATAACTTGTATGTAACCCAGCTCTAGGAACGAATTTCACAGCTTGTTGGACATGGTGTTTGCAATGGGTCGAGCGTCTGATTACTGTTAACATGGCAATGTTTTTTTTTTGGTACAGTGTTTGGTAATTTATGCACTTTTTTTTTGTAACCGATAAAAAATAAAAAAGGGAGGAGTATCCCCAGAGTAATAGGACAAGGGGAATATTTCAAAAATGCTGGTGGCTGAGCTCAACCTCTGTTTTCGTGAGACCTTCTCAGGTAAATACCTTTAAATATTATAGTGTAAGTTTAAAGAAAAAGGCTCGTGCGTTTTTACCTGAAGGCAACAATACATTCCATCACTAAAAATATGCTACTGGTTGGGATATAGTGTAAGTGAAAATGCATCCAATATTCCATCCAATAAAAGGCAATAGATACAATCACCAAAGTTTTTTCAATAAATGATGACACACCTTCCTATCTAGCTGTTTTAGACATGTTTGTCACAATGCACTGTATAACACGCAAACATGTTTAAAACACCTAATATTAGGTTATTGTAATATGTGAATCATGTTTGACAGCCTTTGTTTAGAAGAACAATACATGCATATTCTCTAAATCTCAGAAAGAATAATGCAAAACAAACTCTCCTTTTTTTAATCTGAAAATCATATGGCCATAGCATTACTTAATAGACTTTGGGTCAGAGCATATGTTCCCAAAAATAGTTTTTTTTATAACCCTGTGATTGTTGACAAATACTTTATAAAACCCTCACACGGCCAAAAAAAAAAAAGGGACCTTTGATTGTAAACATCACCTGAAACCAATCATTTATGAAACTGAATGTGTAATTTATGATTTTACATTGACTTTCTTACAGAGTATTTATTTGTGTATTGAAGAAGAAGAGAGAAAAAAAAAGGGGGGGAGGAAGTAGGAAAGGAATGTGTATATGTATAATGTTACTAGTTAATAAATAGAAATGTTGTTTAAAAAAAAAAAGATATGTGTGTGATTTTTATAAATCATGCATTTGCACAGCTGTATTAGGCTGATAAGGAGGTGCATGCTGGTGTTGTGTATGAGTTAAAGGAATATTGGATGATTCGCTCTGGTCAGTATCGTGTCTGGAAAACTCATGAGGGAAACGATCATTAGGATAAAGTTTTCCCATGCTGCTTGTACCAGTGGACATTTCATCATCAATCATCTTTTCAGTTCTGGGGGCTGCTGTTGAAAAACTAGGGGGTGGGAATCGCCCACTATCGTTCATAGGATGTCCACCACCCGCTCTCCCTTGCGTCATGCGATTCAGTTGGCCAGCTCGATTCGCATCATCTAACGATCTAAATACCTCGTCATCCACATAATAAGCTTTAAACAACATTTCCAACATTTGCATACGCTCTTCTACGCGATGAATACGTTGTGTTTCTGGTTCGTCAAATTCCTCATGGTTTAAATCAGTGACACTAAACCGGTGATGCACAGGATGCACTAAGGGAATACCCGATTCTGTAATCTTAAACTTGGATCGAAGACCACTCAATAATGAACGTTTCATATCACCCGTACTCCATCGATGAACCACACCCCAAGGAGATCTAGGACGGAAACCAAACAGCCATGTTTGAATGGCTATCAAGAGACCAAATATACCACCCACAAAACCAAGAGCATTGACCAACGTATACATCTTGACCTCTCGCTTAATTGTATTGACAAAGGCTTGGGGAAAGATGGCAATTAAACCAAGATCGGTATGACCTGCAGTGTATCGTGGGTTGGGTGCTTCTTGACGGAAATTGGTGACCACTTCAGGTGTCGAATTCGAAATGGGTAAGAATCCAACATAATTCCAGCCTACCGATTGTAAATATTTATGGTTGACTAAATTGTAAGAGAGAGCACTATACGTGAAAGGTTGGATATCATAGACATTGGTTGCCTGGATATCATTTCTTTCGTTGATTTGCCAGTTCAAGACGGCATTTTCTGGCATCAATGTGGTGGGACCATCCAAGAGGTTATAAATGACTGTGTTAGGGTTCATTGTCTTTGGATAGATGGATGTGTGTATTCTTCCATAGTCGATGGCTTGATCTCCCCAAAATGTGAATAATAGTCTGGAGCCATTGTTCTGACCCGAAGTAGATGTAAGGATGAAATCAGTAGGCGATCTAAAAAGGAAGCAGTTGACTGAACCCAAATTATCAGCAAAAGTGGGCTGAAAAACAGACATATTCAATGGACGAATAAATTGAGTGCATGAGTAACCAGTGTCTGTCTGACAAGTGACACCGGGTGTTCTAATGTCGGTTGTAGGGTAAGGAGGGAATCCGTCGAAACAGAAACGTACATCTAAAATAGAGTTTTAATTCTCTGTGTATATATATGTGAATAAAGCGTATGAGATTATATTTACCCGGGACTTGGACGGATGCAGCAGGTTCTTCAATCGTTTGCGTAATGTTCGGACTGTCAATAGCTTGGCGAAGAACGAATGCGAGAAAAACAGAAAAAATGAACAATAAGATGACCTGGAAAATGATTCGGGTGGTCTCTGCCCAAACGGGCTCACCAGTACTAAAAATAAACAAAGTTAATTAAAGCAAAAGCAAAAAAAAAACATTATAAATAACATACCGCGGCTTCCAAATATCACGATGAAGACGGTTGAAGACCCATCTGACATAGCTTTGAAATTTCCAAAGTAAAAATAAAATGATGACGAGAAGGACAACACAGGCCACGGTTACACCAGCGATTATGCCACCTGACAACCCGGAGCTGTAACTCTCTTCGGAGGGAGTGAAAGACTGAAGCCATTTGTTGCCAGTAATGTCATACACATTAATATCATTGTAGTAAGCATTCTGTGATGTACCTAAATATATACATATATATATATAAAGGGTTATTTATATGCCATGAACAATTCCCATCTGTCTTGGTTCTTACCAAAAGCAACAGTCAAGTAGTTTCCGTTTAAAAGACCAGCAGAAGCATAAGAACGTCTGGAAGGTGGAATACCAGGAACAGAAGGTACAGTCCATGTCCAGGTCTTTGTGTCCAAAATACCAATTGCGTTCAAATACATTCTTTGTCTTTGAATGTTTCCATTATCACCTATTAATAAACCCAGTTAGTTTTTTTTTTTTCATTTCTTTAAAAACGGCATCTGAGTTGCAAAAAAAAAGTCTTACCACCAAAGATGATGATTCTGTCGTCCGAAGCTAAATATAGAGCTTAGCAAGACCACAAAAAAAAAATGACATATTGTTATTTGTTACACACTTACTAACTATAGCTGAATGAGATGTTCTACTGGATGGTCGAACTGAACCAGTAACATTGACATTTTCCCAAGTACGTGCCTTTGTATCAAACACAAATACAGTATTCATGTCCTTTAGGATTTTGTTACCGGTAGGGTCTTGAACTACACCACCAATAATGACGAGTTTGCCATTACTATAAAGAGTTTATTTTTGGGTTATTTTGATGTATGGAATAAATATTTATATTTCCAATTACCTAAGTAAAGAGGCGGTGTGACCATAATGCGGGATACCAGTAGTGGGTAAGCTTGTATATTGTTGAGTCGTACTATCCATATAGAAAAAGTCGTTAAAAATGATGCTGTCGTTGAAAGCACCGCCATAGATATAAATGTTGTTTTGGTTATCATAGGTGGCTGTATGCAACTTTCTGTTGTAAGGAAGCTGGGTGGTATTTGTCATGACAACCGAGTTGTTAGGAGAGGCTGTCCAGGTGTTTGACTCGAAGGAAAATTGGTAGGTCTGCAAGGCAGACATCTGCGTGCTGGTTGTGTTTGTCAAGCCTCCAAGGAGGTACATATTGTTGTTGTTATTGGTAACAACTGCTTGACCATACAAGGTACCAGGGGGTGGGTTATTTTGTTCAAGAATTTGCCAATTAAATGTTTCTGAGGTTTGCGTTAATTGATAAAAATCGTTTGTGTATGAATTGGTTGCATTTTCACCGCCAAACATCAGCAAACTGTTACCATTTCTTGTGGCGGTGGACATGCCGCCTCGAAATGGTAGATTTGACATGAAATTTGGTACATAGAAGTAAGCATCCACCACAGATAACAATACAATGATTGCACAGAGCAATTTTAATATCATTTTCTTTCTTTGGTTTTGGGGGAAATATATATAATATAAAAAAAAGTTTAAGAAAAAGAAAAAGGAAGGAAGTCCTTTCTTTTAAGGAGATCTATTAAATAGCTTTAATCAAAGGTCTCGACTCCCTATAATAAGCATCCCTTTTGTTCAATACCCGCGCGCAAAAAAAAAAAAAAAATTAAATAGCTTTGTTTCTATTTGGGGATAAAAAAACCACACTAACGATTTCGATTGCTGTTTGTTCTATAATGGAACGAATAAAGAAATTTAGTGTATTTGATTGTAGCAAAACTTTCTTTGTGATAACCATTCAAATCAGCTGTACATAATGCACACGAAATTATATAAATAGAATTTTTGCTGATTATAAACAAAACGGACAGCATATAGGCTCCTTTTTTTTTTTTTTTTTTTTTTACGTGAGCATCACCCTAATCTCGGATTTTTTTTTAGGTGGTGCACTCATTTCAACAACCGTCTTGAGCCTGTTTGTGACCCTTTTTCTACACAAATCATCACCTTTTTTTTTTTTTTTTTTTATAGCTGCTACACAATGAAAGTGAAAGACCCATGCAGCAATAAGCCCAAATATGTACTGCGGGTAGCAACCAAAACACCATTGAAACGGGATGGGTCAACGTACACCCTAAGCAAGTTAACTGAGGAGCAGATCAAATTGATCAAAAAATCATGCTTTTCGAGATCGAATTCGGAAGGTGCATTTTTGAGGACTCGATTACAAGATCTTTGTTACAGACTTGATCAAGTCAATGTGGTTTCTGCTGTTTCCGAAAAGAATTGCGAAACGGCAAAACAAGCCAAACTGAGAAAAGACGACAAGGACTCTACTGGTTCGACTGCGCAACCCATCAAATCTCAGACCAGCTCTTCGTCCGATACCACCACCACCAGCACAACATCCGATTCATTCCACAATAAACAATACCCGCCTGAATACATACAATATCTAGGTAAGTTACCTTGGAGACCATCATGAAAGTCGGAAGTGTAACCCTCCTTTTTTTTAAAAAAAAAATAGAATATTTAGCAAACCCCACCGCTGCCGCTAGACCCCCACCGCTAACAAGACAAAAAAGATATAGTATGTGTAGGAATTTTGTGAAGCACAAGGGAAAAGATCTTGAAAAGAAACTGTTTGTGCCTTCTTACTACGCAAGTTCGAAAACCTCAGACAGTTCGGAAGATACGAATGAAAGTAAAAAGTCAGACACGTCTTCTAAGGTCAGTGAGTGTTTAGACAAGTCTACTACTGAGACTAAGGATATCATCTCGACCGACCTTAAAAAACCCTTTTTGTCTACCTCTACCAGCACATCAGTGTCGGGGAGCATTACGGCTGTTGAGGAGGAATCTGAATTCTCGATAGGACAAACAATTGTCAAAAGCATCGACAGAGACTCTAGTAGTGATTCTAGCAATGGAAAAGAAACTGATGATTCTGAGGAAGAGAATCAAGATTTTGATTTTAAAAAAAAGTCTTAAAATAAATATCATCTTATAGAAGTCTTTATTGCCCATGCAAACAACGCCCGCCGCAGCATAATTTTTATCTGTTTGCAGGAAAATAAACATTGGCCCGATCATTTTTTAAAGCCCAATCCTTTTTATTTTTAAAAAATAAAAACACAGTCTGGTTGGGGGGAGGGGGGGCAGGCCGCGCACTGTGCATACTCCCATTCTTTTCTTTTTCCTTCTAGTTCCATACTCTATTGTAACAATGTTTCGCTCTATTCAACGCTTAGCTGTCTTATCCAACACACGTATTTTATCTCGCGGTGAATTCTTGCACAAAAAGAGTGCACTGCGTGCATTTTCCGGCTTAAACACACTTCAACCAGCCTCCTTGAATTTAAAACGTCAAGGTGCTATCTTCAACTATGGATTTCATACACTCTCACCATGCTTTGAACAAGAGCAAAAAATCTCAAAAGAAGAGGAAGAAGCGATCGATCCTAACCATAAAATGTTGATTGGCTTCACATGTAAAGTCTGTCAAGATCGTTCGCATCACGTCATGTCAAAACACTCATATACCAAGGGAGTGGTGTTGATCCAATGTCCTGGATGTAAGAACCGTCACTTGATTGCCGATAATTTAGGTTGGTTCAGAGATAGCAAGACAACCATTGAGGATCTTGTCAAGGAAAAGGGTGAGGCCATTCGACATGTCGTTGTGGACGAAGCCGGTGTTGAAAAAATGGGCGATTTAATGGAATGGTTGCCAGAGATTGCACATGAGGAAAAAGTGAAAAAGGCAGAAGCAAAGATAAAGGCTGACGAATTAAAGGAATCACAAAAGGAAGAATAGACTGTTTTTTTTTATTATGTGCTTGAAATGTATTTGAAATAAACAAACGTAAACACTGCCATGAATAACTGACAATCCACGCGGTCTAAAAGGCCGCCGTGGCCTGGAATCCATTGTCCAAAGTCTTTGATCTTTCCTGCTCTTTTAACAGCACTGGAAAAGAATCCTCCAAAAGGCGCAACAATAGAAGCAAAAATCCCAATTACCATACCATGGAATTGGATGTGATTATAAACAGTTGTATTCTATGTATGGGATTTTAGTCAACCTCTCCTGAGCGTAAAGATTTTATAAATTATACCCTACATTTAGGACCTTGTTTAGGTGATCATATTGCGCTAACCAATTTGAAAGCTAGTTGTAATATTATCTTTTAGATCTGCTTATTTGACCAATTCATGATTTCTTTTTCATAACAAATTACCTTGAAGGCAATCAACACTGTTACAATGCCAGCGCCTACGAATCCTTCCATAGTCTTCTTGGGACTAATGTTTAGTAGCTTTCTTTTACCAAACAATCTACCGCAGATATAAGCTGCAGTGTCGTTTATAACAACTAGAGAGCAGGGAAACAAGAACCTGTACGTTTTTTTTTAAAAAAAAATGTATGAGACTATCAATTAACGCACTGCTAATTATCATGCATGATTACCAAAAGATACCACCATTGGATATATTCAAGTTAATCACTGTAGGCTGAATAACTGTGTAAAGCACAATAACATGCGAATAAAATGTATGTAAAAGGTGATCACCAAGTGCCGGAACCGGTTTAACATCTAGAATGTAGATTACCCATAGTGTGAACCCTATGCATATACGCCATGTATTAGAAAGGAATGGACACATGTCATATAATTACATACATTGCGTGTATAGTAAGAAGTACCAAATAAGCACCTTTGCGTAATCAGCATAAATAAGGTTCAAGCAAAGCGCCATACAGAGCGTAAAAAGGGTCCTATCATGATGTATTTTAGAACACCAGCGAAGAAAGGGGGGTGGAGGGTTAGTTATTATAAAGCAATGCCACAACGTACCAGTCAGATATGATTTGTCTCTTATCTAGATGAACGGAACTAGTTGTCAATCGCACTCGGCGTAATTCCTACTCCAGAAAGGTTTTTTTTAATTTTAAATGTTTCCTAGGTCTGTTTCAGTTTCTCTCCCCTTACATGAAAGACTTTTGCTTGAATGAAAATCAATAAAAGGAGGTTCAGCTCATTTACGCCCGACAGAATGATGCCAATTACTATTACAGCCATGGTTAAACCAGCTGCAACTCTTAACTTTGTCTCGAGTGACATTTCCCAATCTAGTAGATAATATAGAGATAAAACATAAAAAAACGGGGGGTCAGCCCATTGGTAATTTATATACATTGAACTTGCAAATACTGGTTGTATTCAAGTAATAGTAATGACAAAAAGAAAGGGTTAACTATTGTATGATACCAGTCAAAATCATGTTCATTTATTTTTCTCCTTTTTCATGTTAAAGACCATATGATGAGATTAGCAGGGATCGCCCAGTTGTGGTCCCTTTCCGTTTTATAAAGTGAACAACTATAAAATGTCAAACCTACGTAATTAAACTTCAAAAAAGTGAAGAATGCTGCCTGAAAGTGAAACACTACTATTGGAATTGATTAAATAAAATACTCTATAATTTATCCATTATCTCAACTTGGCTTTACCTAAAACAAACGTGTTATGTCATAACAGTTTAATGAATATATCGGAAAGCCCTTTTTTAGTTATAACATACAGGGCCTTTAATTAGATAGGTTCCGCAGCTTTTTTATTCCCATCCTCTTCAGGCCGGTTATTAAGGAAACAGCCTTTATTGAAATAATACTTTTCGTGAGTCACAATCTTAAGCGCCATAATGTACATGACCCAAATCATCTGAAATTATCGGAAATTGTGTACGCCCCGTGTTCTTATACGGCTCAACCTAATTTTCCACTATTATAAAAACAGAATAGCGTTAAATCTTAAAAGCTTCAAAGTCAATTATTTTTTTCTACTCTAATTTACACTAACTAACGCCCCGGTGGGTGGCTAATAAAAAAATTAAAATGATCACAATGATACATAAATCCGGTCTCATTCGTACGTAACCGCACGTTAAAAATTTGATTAAATGACATGTGGATAATTACAAATTGAAAAAACGTTGTAAAAGACGGAGACAATTGTTTTCCACAACGTTTCGGTCATATCAGCTGATACCCACCTGGGTTGACAGATTTGGGGTGTCCTTTTTTCATGCACGCAATGGATTATGACACATTGTGAGTTTTGGGAAAAACAGGTTCAGTCCGTGACTTGATTTTTGTTTGTGGCTGAAAGAAAAAATGAGTAAGGGCTATGCCCAAAATTTTATAACACGACCCTTTTTTTTTTCTCTTCTTCTTTATTTGAAAATACTGTTTGAAAAAAAACAATGGATGAATTAGTTCCTCTTTTTGTTAAAATCGGTTTATCCGAACAAAAAGCAAAAGACACTGCCAAAAATAAGAAATTAGCACCTACCCTCGAAACCGTCATTGATGAAGCCAAAGTACGCGATTCCGGCTGTGATAAAGATATCGGTATTCTCTTGTACAGTTTGGCTACCACCGTCACCAAGGGAGCCACTGAGCATATTCCCTTCATTGTCAGCAAGATTATGAATGGTGACTTGAAGACAACTGATCAAGTTTCTGGTAATTTCTTACATTGGAAAATACTTACAGTTAGAACGCAGTAATAACCTTAAACTCCCTCATGTTAGCTGCCATCAAGTTTTCCGAAGAAGATTTCGATGCTGAGAAATTCGACGCTGCTACCGGTGTTGGTACGTAACCCCCTCTTCATAATTAGACATTATGACCAACATTGTATCCATGTATAAAAATAGGCATTACTGTCACCCCTGAACAAATCACCGCAGCCATTGCTGAATACATCAACACGAATAAGGAAAACATTGTTGCCAACCGATACAAGACCTTGGGTCCTACTCTTGCCAACGCACGCAAGATCGAGGCCCTTCGTTGGGCCGACGGTGGTAAAGTAAAGAACGAGATTGAAGCTCAATATCTTGCTTTACTCGGTCCCAAGGACGAGCGTGATGCTCCCCAAAAGAAGAAGAAGGAACCTAAAGCCGCCAAAGCAAACAACGCCAAGTCTGAAACCACCACAAAAGACGAAAGTACCGTTGATCTTGCCACCAAGGTCTTTTTTGAAGGTGAGCTTGGTAAATTACACAAGCCCGGAGGAAACAAGCAAATTAAGCCTGAGCTCATGGAAGAACATCTCAAGGCTACCGGCGGTAAAGTGGTGACTCGTTTCCCTCCTGAGCCTAACGGCTATCTCCATATCGGTCATGCGAAAGCTATCAATGTCAGCTTTGGTTACGCAAGAGCCCATAAAGGTGTTACTTATCTCCGTTACGATGATACCAATCCTGAAGCTGAGGAGGAGAAATATTTCACTTCTATCCTTGAAACTGTAAAATGGCTTGGTTTCGAACCTTTCAAGATCACCTACTCCAGTGATTACTTCCAACAATTGTTTGATTTGGCTGTCAAGTTGATCAAGAAGGGTTTGGCCTATACTTGTCAATGTACTGGTGAGGAAATCAATGCTTGTCGTGGTGGTAAGGATCATGGTGAACGTAGAGCCTGTGCACATCGCGAAAGACCCATGGAGGAAACATTGGATCAATTCATGAAGATGAAGGAAGGTCGTTATAAGGAAGGTGAAGTGACACTTCGTATGAAGATGGATTTGGAAAACGGAAACCCCCAATTTTGGGACTTGATTGCTTATCGTGTGCTTTACACTCCCCATTACAGAACTCATGACCAATGGTGTATCTATCCTACTTACGATTTCACCCATTGTTTGGTGGATTCCTTCGAAAATATTACTCATTCTCTTTGTACCACCGAATTCAGACAATCCCGTGAGAGTTACTACTGGTTAGTAGACGCAGTTGAAGTTTACAAGCCTGTTCAATGGGAATATGGACGTTTGAACGTGACGGGTACCATCATGTCTAAGCGTAAGATTCTCAAGATGGTCAATAACAACTATGTGAGTGATTGGGATGACCCAAGACTTTATACTCTTGTCGGTATTCGTAGACGTGGTGTACCACCAGAGGCTATTAATAACTTTGTGCTTGAACTTGGTGTCACTACAAGTCAGTCCACTATTGAGGTTCAACGTTTTGATACAAAGACTCGTGAATATTTGGATAAGACCACTCCTCGTTTAATGGCTATTTTAGACCCCATTCGTGTTGTCTTGACCAATGTTGCTGATGATTACCTTGAGGAATGTGTTGCTCCTAACAAGCCTAGAGATCCTGCCATGGGTGAACATACTGTCCCCTTCACCAAGGTCTTTTATATTGATCGCTCTGACTTCCGTGAGGAAGACTCCAAGGGTTATTATCGTCTTGCTCCCGGTAAGTCTGTCGGTCTCTTGTTTGCCAAGCACCCTGTCCACTGTACCGGATACAAGAAGGATGCAGATGGTAAGGTGACTGAGATTGAATGTACCTATGAAAACGAAGGTCCCTTCAAGAAGCCCAAGACCTATATTCACTGGATTGCCGAGTCCCCCAAGCATAACTCACCTGTCAAGTTGGATGAACTTCGTATCTACGAACGTCTCTTTAAGCATGATAACCCCGAAACTGTTGAAGGTGGTTACTTGAATGATATCAATACCCACTCTTTGCAGATTGTCAAGGGAGCCATTGCCGAGGTTGGTATCTATGATCATATTGCGGACTGGGCCAAGAAGACAGGCGGTAAAGATAAGGAAAGCATGCGTTGGCAATTCACCCGTACTGGTTATTTCTGTTTAGATAAGGATACCGAATTTGATGTTGAGCTTGTGAAGGCTGGCAAGGTCAAGGAAGGTTTGAAGAACCTTGTTGTTAACCGTACAGTATCTCTTAAGGAAGATGCTGATAAGGATTAAACAAGTTTTTTTTTTTTTTTTTGGGAAACCCCCATGACCTAAATATAAAATAAATTCGTACTACAGTAATTTTGTTGGATCATATTTTTTACTTGTTTTATTAAAAAAGGTATATGCTTGAGTTATTATTAAAATTATGATATGGCGTAATATTATTAAATGTGATTCTATGTTAAGAGTATTATGTTGATAAGAGAAAGGGGAGGTAATGATAAATCTTTAGGGTGGGAAAAAATGCAATGATAGTGTATACAAAGGGGTTAAAACCTCGTTTTTTGAAATTTACCAAGGAAGGAGAGGACACTCTAAGAAGAGGGAGGAGTAGAGGCTTCTCCGAAATAAAAGTCGTCGGAATTCTCTGATAAGTATCGATCGAGTTCAGCTGATTCTCTACCATCATAAGGTAACATTTGATTCTTCCATTTACATTGTGAGCATTCGTATCTAACTGTTGAGTTATCGGTGATACGTTTATTTAATACAATCAGCGATTTTTCTGATCGAGTCAATTGTACAGAGTTTTGGTTTTTGCATCGTGGGCATGGGTGAGAGGCATGTTCAAGAGAGATTTTTTTTCCAGAGCTTGAGACTAATACGAATCCTGCAGGCATGTTGTGTAAATATGTATAATTGATGACTGTGTGATGATGAGGGGAAAAAATGAGATAGATGTTTAAAAAATGATATAATAATGAAAAGGAAAAATACAGGAAATTATACAGCCCTATTTATACTAAAAATCAAAAAAAAATTAATTGGGGGGGAAGGGTCCACGCACGTTATGAAAAAAATTAACCCTATAAAATTTGATAGGGCAAGTTTCAAAATAATCAATCCACGTTTTTTAATAGAAATAGTGCTACATCTATTCGTCATAACCAATAGCGACGGAAACATAAACCACTTGCTCGTCGTCATGATTACGTCGGGGTTAACCTACAAAATGGAACCGCAGTTCCCGTCCGGGTATCCGCAAAAAAGTCCATTGTATTTTACACATACCATTTAACTTGTAGCATTTCTTAAAAAAAAAAAATACAGAAATGATCCGAATCATTTCCATTATAACCTATTCTGTGTTCATACTACATAAAGTGGAATGATGCTTTTAAATCCCTTCATTCATCTACAGCAATTGCTATTTCCCGTAGCATCTTGTATTTCATCATCCTTATTCAGAATCTTAAAATAAGCACGTATTACTATTGCCATTCAACTCCGTAAATAAAATGAATTTTTACCACCGACGAGGATAATTACGGATAAAATCACACCGTTGTAATTCTATTGATGACTCAACTATAGTTCTTAATTATAAATGTAATGTTCGAGAGCGTCTAGTTGCAGAATGAAGATGATCAATCATTATGGTTGGGTTTGCTAGTCCACAATGAAAAACAAAACAAAAAGAAAGGCTCAGGGAATGGGAGATCAACAAGGTGCAGTATTCCGATATATTGTTTACTCTATGTAAATCTCGACCAGGTAAACAATTGCTCACAGACTAAAAACATTGAGCAGCTGATACTTCAATCACGCGAACGTGCAAGCGTGCGCATTTGAAATTACTACTGCGACTAATGAAAAAAAAAAGCCCACACGGCAATAGGGCTGCCCGGTAAAATAACCCCCTAGTAGTAATGTCATTATTATGTTAATTATCTCACACGATAAAAAAGGAGCAAAAAAAAAAGCAAGTAAGGAGAAAGGCTAAATGAGTGCAGTAAATAAGGTTAAGACTTGAATAATTTTTATTTGGTGATACGATAAATTGCAATCCGCAGTACCTGCATACCTTTTTGGCTCCCCCTTCGCCCTCTCCCCCCCCCCATTTTGCGGGGAGTGATACTCTTTCGGATGATGAATTTAGTTTTTTTTTTTGACAGGCAATGGAGCCTAAATACAGCAATAAAGCTTTTGATTGGTGTTGTTAGCTCTTCTTCAATCTCGATCGATTTTTATCTATTTCTGAATAAGACTGACGCAACAATTTTTCATAGTCATCACACCCCCCACATGGCCTCTTTGACGTTTACAAGCTAGTATAAAATAAAAAAAAAGTCTAATGAAAAGAGCCACTAGTCAGTAAACAATGAAATGCTGAAATTTGGGAGCAAAGTCATCATGTGTTATAATTCTGGTATTTTAGTGACTCAGTACAGTGTAACATTAATCCTTTCTTTTTGGGGAAAATTTCACTCAGCTCATCCACTTTCTGGAGAAATTTCTATTGTCATTACGTAGAGTAGGAATCGGCAATTGTCCTAGTCATTTCCGATGGGAATCGTCCGGTAGAACCCATAGAATCCAAAAGAATAACCGTTTAGAGCCTCTGGGTCTCAATAGAAGTATCAATCGCGATTTCGTTATAAACTACGCTGGGAGACGCGCTTAAAAGAAAAAGAAGATTATCAGCCTCAACCCTAGGCTGACAATGAATGGGTGGTAATTGAAAAAAAAAGTTTTCATTGTATCACATTTAATTAAAAAGGCTGAAGCGTATCACTTTATCTCTCATCATCCTATCATCATCAAACACAACAGCCTGGATTTATCTTTACTGTGCTAGTATGAACACACCAGTCCGTAGTTAAAAAAATTACTTTCTTGAGATGCTTAATTAACGTAATAACATTTTACCAATTTTAGCTTCATATAAAAAGAACCGCATTTAATATCATCCAATAATTTTTTGCGGTCTTTCTAAACCCTCAATCACCCGCTTTTTTTTTTATCCTTTCGTTCTAATGATGACAGTATAATGAATAAAGAGGCTAAGAATAAACTTCATTCTTTTTGGAAGAGGGCTTGCATAATAAATAGCTGAGAATAGCATAATATTACCAAGAAATTGCACAATAAAACATTTGTTCTGATAAATTGGAATTCAAGGCTTTTCTGTGTAATTTTTTTTTTTTTTTATCTGCGGATCTAAAATATGAAGAATTTCGGATTCAATGTTGGGTTGAATCGTATGCATAAATCATATGGAAACCACGAAATATGCTCCCCCAGTCAAACAAGTACTACCACAACACTTCATACCTTAATCGAGTAGAGCAGCATTCAAATTTCAAACTATAAAATATGCTTTGCTGGGCACAACATAAACCTTGTATTTTATAGAACAGCTGATGTGAAAAAAAAAAACAATTGATCCCCGACAGTCATCCCCAAGTTTAGATTCTTAAGAAAAAGATTAATTATTTTTGCTATCACCCAAAAGGAAAAACTGCCAAGTAATTAAGCTTGCCGATGCATGAATTATAGGACTATTTAGCAGCGCATGAATAGACTTGGGGCTCACCGCATCATAAAAAAGAAAAGAAACTACAGTTAAAGTTTTGTACAAAAGATGATGGTACTGCCATGGCTGAAGTCAGTCCCTCCACGTTCTGAACATGAGAAAAATCAAATTATCACGATGGGGGTCTCTTGAGCATGATACTCGCCTTATCTTTTGTGGACGTTAGTTAAAACGTATTTTTAAACATGCTTCTTATTATCAAAACATTTAACGTTAATTATTTAATAATAAAATTCATTAGGAATAGATGTACTGAAATAGTGCTGTGTCACAAATTTTATTAATTGTAATTCAGGCACTTTTTTTTTAAAAAAAAAAAACTGTCTTCTATTTTTACCAGTTTCTCGTAATTTGCACAAGGTAAATTTCGGTGTGAGGGGGTTCTAATACTTTATTTTCATGCATTTATCTCTTCTTTTAACGCATGACAATTAAATCAACAGATTTTTGACAGGATTATGAATTACCTTGCCTGATTATTTTCTACTGTCAGATCTTGAACGTGTTGCGCGGAGTTCGGGAATAAATGCTGTCGAACATGCTTACAATTTTATATTAATCAGAGTTGTAGATTACTTCAATTTAACTATGATTTAGTTAGTGGTACTTTTATTTGACTTTTTTTTATCTTTTTTTTTTAAAAGTTATTAAGCTAGGTTTTTTAAAAATCCTCGTAATCATCTATTGGTTTGTTTAAAGAATTAATATATGGTCATCATATTTCTTTAATCACGCAATATTACCTTCGATACCATTGATCGCATGCAAGAAGAACAAGACTACATTAGATGTACATTGCATGTTGAACCCGTGATATAAACCTCTTAAACTCCAATCGGTCAAAATACTCTTTTTCTGATATGCGCTAGTCTTTTTACCGCCCTTCTTTTTAGGTCTACCGCCTTCTTCTTTGATGATACAGTAAGCTGCATTAGCAATACCTGTGTAAGGAACGGGTCTTGTTGCAACTACCGTCTCGAATCGTTTATTTCCCGGTGTACGTGTTCTGATTTGACACTGAAGACGTTTACGGATGGTATCCAAAGGTAAAGTGATCACGACTTCCATTGTGTTTAAAGCTAATTCTGCAAAACTGTATAAAAATGGTGATTCGTTTGCAGAGATGCGCAGGATACGATCAATGATTAAAGGTGTTGTATTTTGTAACAAGGGTGTGATCGTATGAAAAAGAATGGTTGGTAATAAGTTGTGAGAGAAATAAAGTCCCTTGATTCCTCCTTCTTCTTGAATAATGGTTTTAAGTGCGTGGAAAGGGCCTTTGTATTTGCGCTGTAAAGGTGAAGCTGATTGAACTTGCATTCTATATATATATATATATTGCGTTAGATCCCCTATCTTTCTCACAATAATATCCCTTCCAAAAATTTACCTAGTTCTAATTAGCTCCAAAGGACTTAAAATAAATCCAACTATAAGGTTACTTGCGACCAAAGTAGCCAAGTTGGGGCCTACGTGATCCAAGTGAACAAGTGGTATCGTATCGTCATAAAGGTCAAACATATCATTTAAAGAACCTTCAAGGGTTGGTTGAAGAAATAGATGAGAAATTTCGTAAATCCAGTTTGTATATTGTCCTTTAAACAATGAACGCCATCCTTCATGAGGTTGCTTCATTAATTTTCCAATTCCTTGCCAAACACCGCCGTCAATAGGTTTGATTTGATGGGGAGGTCGGGTTGATTCATCGTATACACTAGTACGCACGATATATCCATTTGAATCAACAGGAACTTTCTTTTTGAATAAAGGATCTTCGATATCGAGTGTTCCGGTATTTAAAGGATCGCTTCCAGCCGAATAGCGTCTTCTTCTTCTTGAACCTTCCTCGCCGTAAAAATCGTCTTCCTCTTCATCCTCTGAATATTCATTATACTAATGCATAATGTTCAATGATCCCATTCTAAAACAAAAACACCATTTCCATAAAATGGCTTCTTTCTTTCTTTCTATTTACCTGTTCTTCTTCGTTATCCGAATCAATTGTAGTTGAAGTTCTTGCGACAGAGGTTACCTCGGCATCTTCACGAGGCATGTACTGCACTTGTAGTAATGTTTTGGATACTTCAAATGGACTACTAACAGCTGTTGTAAGATATTTTAAAACCGTAAAGTTGATGAGCTCTCTGGCCGCGGCTTTGGAGTCGATTAAATCGTCATATTCGTTGGCGTAATAAGGTGAAGTCATGCTTTGAGCATCTGGTGCAACAGTGGTGTAATTACCATTACTTAAACCAGGTGCATAATAAGGTCGAAGGCCATTTCCACCGTTACCAGCCGTAGCAGGAAAAGCTGCAAAAGGATGACGATGATCCGTAGACATTGTAGTTATTTATTTTTTAACAAGGGGCTCAGCTTCAATAAATTTTCCCTCAAAAAGTCAACCATCTCACATGAATTTAATTCGCGACTCATCCCCACCCCCCAAAACCCCGAAGATATGATGGGGGGTTTGTAAGCACAATGAGACACCTACTGATTGGGTAAGAAAAATAAATTTAAAAATCACACGGATTAGAAGGTCTAAGTTAGTATCGACCGGATACTTTACTTTCATTACGCTTCCATAACTACTTTTTTTTTGGGTGCGTCAACTGTAGGGGGGAAATGTTGTAGCAAGAGCCGATTTCCCACAAACAAAGTAAAGCATGAAACGCCAAAGACTAAAGTAGTAATTTATGTTTACAATCAGATTATTGAGGCCAGCGACTATGACGCGTGATCAAGGTATAAGCACCAAATCATGCCAGCTATTACGAATTATATACACTATTCTAAATTTAGATAACAATACATTCTGTAAAAAGATCACGACATCTCTGAGATGCTGTACAAAAGTTATCGATGCACTGAGGTAGAGTGGAGAGGTTTCATTTATTTGAATTGTGACTTGATGAGGTCGTGGCAATTATTGGAAATTTCATTGGCATTCCCTTGACATTATTTTAAATGACAGATTACGGATTTGTTATGCAAACAATACACGTTTGAAGAGCAGTAACACACACACACACACACACACAAATAATAGATTTAACAAACAAGATAAAATCCTAAACTTCACACAGCGATCATTGTGGTGTCGATTTGTACGCGATTCTTCCTCTATGATGAGCTAAAACTACGACGTGAGTTCATTTTTTACCTGTTCCAAAAGAAAATTCGGGTATACAAGCCAAAAACGCTCACGACGTCATTTCATCAGAATGGTGTGTAATGGTTTCACTTTAGTGACATATTAAAAACTTTAAAAAGAAAATACGCTTCTCTATTTATGGAATCAATTAGAATCACTTCAGATGTCTCTTGCTGTATTCTAAACTGTGCCATTAGATCTTGCTATGGCATTTTACTATCGTGTAAAACATATTCCGTAAACAATTGTATTATCCCAAACTGGAAAAGGCTGTTAGTGACGATCAGACTTCTTCTGCAATCGTAATAGGTTATTGTTTTTGATGTATACATCGAAACTGCTGCTTATACTGTTTAAAGAAGCCTTACTCTTCCATTTCATCTCGCTTTAAAAGCGTTTCAAAACATAGCTGCCAACATTTTTATGGCTCAATACGGCTTTCTTCTATGAGTCCGAGGAAGTATTTTCAGGCAAAATATCGGCTGATTCCTATTAATTATATGATGAACAGACTCCGAACATGTCTAATGCCATAGATATAATGTGGTAGTTGATAGGAGTATTGCTATTATTGTAAACGCCTCTACTCATTTTACAACGGTAACTAATTTTCACTTAACTGAGACATATTTAGGTAATCCAATTGGAAACAAAAGCAATTTCTTCTAATTGTTTTGCGCGTTCACACGCACTCTGCCAGTATTAAATATATTAGGTAAAACAAGAGCTTGAAATAGTTTTTTTTTTACGGTAGAAGGGAACTTACTCCTTTTCATTTTTATGCCACAATTTCAAAGTTTATATTACAAATAGTAGGGTACCAATTTGCGGGTTTACATATTCCCAATTTGCGGCTTTTAATTGGTCAATTTGCAAATTTTTAATTGGTCATTTTGCGTCTTTTTTTTTCTCAGTTTGGGGGTTTGACGCCTGGCGAAAAATAGACTTTATCGGTGACGCTATCGGTGACGCCTGGTGAAAAAATAGACTCTATCGGTGACGCTACCGGTGACGCTACCGGTGACGGCGCGTCTTTTTCTTTCTTTCGCAAAAAAAAAATGTCTTCACAACAAGGTAATCTAGCGAATTAGCTTTGGTTGTATACAAAACAAGAGTACTTAACAAACTTATTCAATAATAGATGGAAATGCTGACACTGCTATGTTACCTTTGAAGTGGAAACCTGGAACAGATCACTTGAGCAAACTCCTGCTCAACGACACAAACGTTATAAATCTGATTGTTCGCTCTTTAGTTGGTAATGTATTTTGCTGTTTGTATAAAGATACTTTGCCTATCTTACACATTATATCTCTTCATAGGTGAAATTGCTCCGGAAAATAGCTACACTGTAGCGCCAACGGAATGGGCCGATAATAGTAGATCGGACATGTTATACACACCACGAGCTGAAGTAACGGAAACAATGGAAATGTCTAGAACTCCGTATTTTTTTCAAACGTATTTTTTTCAAATAAACGTATTTTTTTAGAATCACGCGATGGTCTACACGTCGATTGACTTGCCATATCATCTAAACTTCATAAGATGATCGATTTCTGTTTGCCATAAAATCTGCTTCACTGTCATTACAAGCTACTATTGGAACGCAGATAGACAATTACCAAGCTCTGACTTGCTTGGGAGGTTTTTGCAAGTGTTTCCATTTTAAGTAAAGGCTCAAACATTATGGATGATAAAATAGACAAATCAAATCATCCTGACATAAGCTTGTTTATCTATAAATAAAGCTGGTTCACACACTTTATTATTCTCCTTTTCTTTTCCCTTAACATACTTCTTTTATCGTATGAAAGTAACCGATCACGTAAAAGGTTTGTTTAGTAGTAACTCTTGTTTCTTTAAAAAGAAGCTAAATTGAAAAAGATATATATTGTGATATTGCGGCTGCGGCTAGTCTTTGCTATAGGAGGGCGACCTCCTAGGCAGAGTTCTTGAGTTTTTGGAACTCACGAACCGTAAATAGCTGGGACTGCACTGTATATAGGTGCGATTATACTGGTCTGCTGGTCTTCTGGCCAGAATTCCTGTAAGTGGAATAAAAAAGAATACCTTTGAAAAAAATACGGAGTTCTAGACATTTCCCGAAACAATGTCTGTTGTTGTCTGCAGAATCAATAAATGGGCATCTCAATCAAGCAACCCTGGACCCTATGGTTGCACTAGGGTACCTCATTACCAACCAACCATCCTGCCAGATTCCACCTCAACACGAAGCTAATCCAACTCTGATGATGTTATACTCCGTTTCAAGAGAAATTCTGTCGAAAGAAGAAAGTACAAAGAGTGAAAAAACGAATCTAATTTACCGATTAGAAAAAGCCAAAAGAGACTTTGAAACAATCCTGGATTCAGATCACAGCCAAGGCAGTGTTCTATCAAGCAAGATAGACAGTTTATAAAATAAAAAAGGTAATTGTGAGACTGGGTAAATTGAATATCGTTTTATTAACTATTGAATTAGAGGATGGTTTATATAGGAGTTGACAAAGTCCTTTCGGTACTTGTCAATTAATAGAGCAAGCTGAGAGAATGATTTATAATGTGAACATATTGCAGTAAGCATGTGTGTACCATGCGTGCATTGTAGGCTGTGGTATTATTTATTAGTGGTTTTTATCATTTGTTAATGCAGATGTTGCGTGTAAACCGCGTGTACGTGAGGTGACACAAAATAGCTATTTCGAGTTTCTTCGCTAAAGTAACTCACAGAATAGTGCTTGTATACACTACGGAATATTTGTGTATACAACAGGCAGCAATAAAATCAAAGTAAGACAAAGCGCAGAAGATGGAATTAAGCTAATTGAAAAGATACAGAAAGATTTGGAAGGCGGTGGTGACTCAGTTGAAGAAGACAATAATACCACAGCAAACTATACCCTTGAAGATGCCCAGTTTGTTGAAAGCTTAACCGTGCCTGGAAAAAACAAAAATTGGAAAGATATTTTTAATAAGGGGAAAGCAAAAGGTTATTTTAAGTCTTATAATTCATCTCAAAGTTTAAAGTCATCTTATCATCGTATTCGACGACGAAAGAAACAGAAGACTGGTTGAAAAAAATTAAGCCTTTATTAGTTAAATAAAATTATACATATTTTTTTTTATTGTAATCTGTCTTTGCCTATTGTAACTTCACAGGCCAAACAAATAGTTCGAGTCTCAAAATCGTATGAAAAACAAAGCGTTTTGTCTGGATCAGACATAAATTGGCATAGTTTAATAAATGCAGGTAAGGATACATTAGTTGCATCTGTTGTGTTAACTGAATCAGGAAAAAACAAAAAACACTTCTGTGCCCAGAATGTGGTTGTTGCTGTTGCTGTAGCTGTTATTGTTGTTGTTGGCTTGATTGTTGGCCGGCCGAAATGGGTTGTTGTTGAAGTTGTTGGGATAACCGCCCTGCTGAGAGGACGGACCTGATCGAAAAAACTGCTGGGCTTGACCATTTTGGGCTTGATTAAAGTTACGTTTCTTGTTACGAAGACCACTGGCAGTTTTAAGTGCCTGAGATGTGGTAGTCTGTTGAACCAAGGCCGCTTGAAAATCAGCAGGTGACATAGGGAAGTTAGTTTTGCTAGGTGAGGCGCTGGATGAGAAAGAAGGGTTAATTGATTGAAAAGCGATGTTGTTACGCATGTCATTAATTTGAGCAGAGACATTGAGTAATAAACTACGGCAATCCTTGAGCATATGAAGATAGCGTTGAATATTTTCATTGTTCGTATCTTGACTAACTTCTAACCCAAGTACATCCAAAGGTCGGAAAACACCTGACAAGAGGTACTGCAAGCGTTTGAGTGACATATCCTGCTTAGATTGATATTTGTTCATCTTGCGAGCAGCGCTGGGAATTGTATCAGGAGGTTGATACTGCAGTTGTTCAATGTTGGGATATTGATCAATGAGCTTACGACGTTCATCATCCGTGAGCATAGTCGTTGGAAAAAGCGGTGAGTCCAGGGCAAGAACTTCCGTAAGGAAAGAAGAAGGAGTCCAATAGTATGATGGCCTGATTCTTAAAGAATCCAGAGCAGCAATGGTCTCATCATCAGCATCCATGTTGACGTTAGGGGATGTCTGTGACTCTGTAGAAGTTTGAGCTCTTGATTGTGCTACTAGCTGTTCTAATTGAAATAGTCTTTGTTGCATAGCAACAAATTGCTCATTTTGGTTAAGTGAATTGGAGTCCATATTTGCGGTGCTGACCGAGCGAAAAAGAAGATCAATTATATATAGTATGTTTCGAATTAATTTTATTTCTATTTTTTCGCTGACTTTAAATAAAAAGAAGATAGAGCAATCATATTTCATATTTTTTATTTGAGTCTCAACCAATTCTGTTAGAATTTATTTCGATACTTGAATAGATTGTGGGTACAAGATCAACAATTTTGGCATACCATTTTGCGGTGTTTTTTTTTCGAAAGACCAAACACAAGCTACTTATGAGTGCCCGATACATACACTGCACATGACGCTATTTTACTGCTATTTGGAACCAATTGATCATAGAATAATTGTTACTGACCGTGATCTAGCATTAAAGGGCGCTTCAGGGAGACAAATTTTGAGTACAGCACAGTTCTCGTCTGTCGTTAGCATATTAACATGAACGTTTTAACCATATCAAAATTATTTTTTGACAAATGATAACTGGAACGAATTTATGATTAAGTGGAATAGATGCATGATTAGTTCCAATAAAAAAGAATGAAGTTCGATAAGAAACAATTACGCGGTGACACTAAGATACTTTCTACTACTGTTCGCTTACCTCAAATCAATATAGTTTCCATTGAAAGAAAACTTTGCAAATATTCGGGTCATGAGCACTTCTACCTTAACACTACCAGTACTCCAAGGGTTAAGGGCGCTCGCAGCAAGCTGAATCAAAGAAAAAATTAAAGCTTCCATAGGTCATTTGGACAAGGTGTCAAATTCGGTTTAAAGTTGACGCCAATGAATTGAGAGCTCATTTGGCAGAAATGTTATCGCGTCTTTTGACCTGATCCATTCAATGTTGATACATATAGAGCCACAAAACAATGCCAAGTCAAGAGGAAGGCCAGTAGGCTCGAACACTAGAAGAAATAGTACTTCATCGAAAGGAAGAAATTACTCTGCATAACATGCTGGAAGAAGAACAAGGTTTTGTGAAACCTGTCGACAGCCACAACCCAACACCTGACAATATTCTTAAAGAGCGTTGTCTCAGGTAGCCACCCATCACAACAGCAACAATCATCATGATAATTATAATCATTTATTTTGATATTTTTCTTTTAGTATCAGTCCCGGCTGATTGCAGTGATTTATATAGCATCAATACGAACTAGCCACCAGATTTCACCCTGTGAACAGATTTTAGCGGTATGATGGGAACTAGTGGGGTAATGATTTATACTATTATATATCGTTAATATGATGAGACAATTATTTTGTTACGATACCCATGTTATCTTCAAAAGTTGCATTAAATTGGGGAATCGAGACGTTAATACAACTATAAACATTGTTTCCATCACAAAATATATGGTCTAAAAAAACAATAACCGCCCAGTATGAATCAGAAGACCGGAATGATAAGGAAATCCTCAATCATTCAAATCGTAAACATATCTTGATAATTCGGTTATTTATAAAGTTGTGTACGTTAACCTGATGACTCCCCCTTTTCTCGGCATGTAGCACGAACCAAATCCGAAAGTAAGTGATCACCCAAAAAAAAATAAGCTTTTTTTTGTTTTATTTTGTTGCCCGGGTATTGAACAAAAGGAATCACTTTATAAAAGACTTTTTTCTTTCTCTTATTTACTTTTTATTTATTTTCCCCCAAAAAAAAACCAGAAATGATATTAAAATTGCTCTGCGCAATCATTGTATTCTTATCTTCAGTGGATGCTTACTTTGATATACCGAATTACAGGACAACTCTGCCATTTCGAGATGGTATGGCTACCGTTACAAGAAACGGTAACAGTTTGGTGATGTTTGGCGGTGAAAATTCAACAAATTCATACACAAATGATCTTTATCAGCTAACTCAAACCTCAAAATCATTTAATTGGCAAATTCTTGAACAAAATAACCCTCCCCCTGGTACATGGTATGGTCAAGCAGTTCTTACTAATAACGACAATATGTACCTCCTTGGAGGCACAACAAATGCAACCCACACTCAGTTGTCTGCTTTTCAGAATTATCAATTTTCTTTCGAGTCAAAGACCTGGACAGCTTCTCCCAATAACTCTCTCGTCATGACAAATACCACCCAATTTCCTTACAACAGAATGCAACATACTGCCACTTATGATAACCAAAACGGCATTTATATTTATGGGGGTGCTTTCAATGGTAGCATACTATTTAGCGATTTTTTCTATTTGGATATTACGACTCAACAATATACCAGCTTACCCACTACTGGTATCCCGCAGTACGGGCACACCGCCTCTCTACTCAGGTAATTAATATAAATATTTGTTTGGTACATCAAAATAACCAGAAATAAACCTTATTTATAGTAATGGCAAACTTGTCATTATTGGTGGTGTAGTTGAAGACCCTAACGGCGATAGAGCGTTGAAATCAATGTCTAGTGTATTTGTATTTGATACAAAATCACGTACCTGGGAAAATGTCAATGTTACTAGTCCAGGTTTACCATCAAGTAGAGCATCTCATTCAGCTATAGTTAGTAAGTGTGTAACAATAACAATATGTCTTTTTTTTTGCTAAGCCCTATACTACTGTAGCTTCGGACGATAGAATCATCATCTTTGGAGGTAAGATTTTTTTTTTGTAGTTCAGATGCCATTTAAAATTGCAAAATAACTGGTTTATTTATAGGTGATAGTGGAAGCGATGAAAGGAAAAGAATGTATTTGAATGCGATTGCTATTTTAGACACAAAGGCCTGGACATGGACTGTACCTTCCGTTCCTGGTATCCCTCCTTCCAGACGTTCTTATGCTGCTGCTGGTCTTTTAAACGAAAACTACTTGACTGTTGCATTTGGTAGGAAAAGACAATGACTGTAAACGTATACGTGTATACACACTTACACACTTAAACCTGTTTTTTATTTAGGCACAGCACGGAATATCCTCTTCAATGATGTGAATGTATATGATATTGCTGGCAACAAATGGATTCAGTCTTTCGATGCCAATGATAATCACAGATCCGGATTATCAGGTGGCATGATCGCTGGTATAACAGTGGCCTGTGTTGTCCTTCTCGTTATCATCCTATTTTTACTTTGGAAATTTCAACGTTATGTCAGGTGGACTCTCAGTCGTCTTCATCGTGATATTTGGAAGCCACGGTATGTTATTTATAATGTTTTCTTGCTTGCTCTTATTAACTTTGTTATTTTTAGTACTGGTGAACCCGTTTGGGCAGAGACTACTCGAATCATTTTCCAAGTCCTCCTATTCTTCATTTTTATTGTTTTTCTCGTATTCGTTCTTAACCAAGCTGTTAGTAGTCCGAACATCACTCAAAAGATTGTGGAACCTACTGGAACTGTCCAAGTCCCAGGTAAATAATCAAATGTGTACACATACACAAAAAACATTGAAAAATTAAAATTTGATTTTAGATGTACGTATCTGTCTCGACGGATATCCTACTTATCCTCCAACCGACTTTAGAAGTCCTGGTGTCACTTGTCAGACAGATATTGGTTACTCATGTACTCAATTTGTTCGTCCATTGAACATGTCTGTTTTTCAGCCCACTTTTGCTGATAGCTTCGGTTCTGTCAGTTGTTTCCTTTTTAGATCGCCTACTGAGTTCATTCTTACATCTACTTCGGGTAAAAATAATGGGTCCAGACTATTGTTCAACTTTTGGGGAGACCAAACAATCGAGTATGGAGGTATACATGTATCTATCTATCCAAAGAAAATGAACCCCAACACCGCGGTTTATAACATTTTGGATGGACCCACCACATTAATGCAACCAGATGCCGTCTCGAACTGGCTTAATAACGAAATAAGTGACATTCAAGCAACCAATGTCTTTGATATTCAGCCTTTTAGCTATAGTTCTCTCTCATACACCTTAGTCGATCATACATATTTACAATCTGTAGGTTGGAACTATGTTGGATTCTCACCCATTTCGAACTCGACACCTGAAGTGGTCTCTACTTTCCGTCAAGAGGCACCCAACCCACGATACACTATGGGTCATTCCGATCTTGGTTTCATTGCCATATTTCCTGAGGAATTCGTTGTTACGATTGAACGAGAGGTTAAGATGTATACTTTGGTCAATGCGCTTGGTTTTGTGGGTGGTATATTTGGTCTACTGATTGCCATTCAAGCATGGCTGTTTGGTTTCCGTCCCAGATCTCCTTGGGGTGCGATCCATCGATGGAGTACGGGTGATATGAAACGTTCACTATTAAGTGGTCTTCGATCCAAGTTTAAGATTACAGAATCGGGTATTCCTCTAGTGCATCCTGTGCATCACCGGTTTAGTGTCACGGATTTAAACCGTGAGGACTTTGATGAACCAGAAATCCAACGCATTCATCGTGTAGAAGAGCGTATGCAAATGTTGGAAACGTTGTTTAAGGCCTATTATGTGGATGACGAAGTCTTTAGATCTTTAGATGATGCGAATCGAGCAGGAGAACTCAATCGTATAAATAATGCAAGAGCGGGTGGTAGTCATGGTATGAACGATAGTGGGGATTTCCGACCCTCCAGTGTTTTAGCAGAATCACCTAGAAACGAAAAGATGATGGATGATGAAATGTCAACTTTTACAAGTGGTATGGGAAAGCTTCATCATCCTGATAGTTTTCCTAATGAGTTCTCGAGACATGATACCGACCAAAGCGAATCATCTAATATTCTTTTAAGTCATACAACTCCTCATCAGCATAATACAGCTACATAAATGCATGATTTATAAAATCACAACGTTTATTTTTTTCTATTTTTTAATTAACACTATACTCCCGAAGTTGGTAAACGAACTTTGGGATTGGTGTTACTGTACATAAACACATTCCTTTCCTCTCTCTCTCTCTCCCCCCCCTTTTTTTTATCCTCTTCAATACACAAATACTCTGTAAACATGTCAATGTAGAACCATAAACTACATATCGGGTTTACATTATCGGTTTCAGATGCTGTTTACAATCAGGGTCCCCTTTGTTGCCTTGTGGTGTTTTGTAAATTACTGTAAAACTATTTTTTGGGAACATACTCTGACCAAAGTATATTGCGATTAAGTAAGGCTATGGCCATATTGATTTTCAGATAAAAAAAGGAGAGTCTGTTTTGCATTAAAGAATCTTATTCTTTCTGAGATTAAGAGAATATGCAAGTATGGTTCTTCTAAATCAAGGCTGTCAAACTTGATTATAAACTACAATAGCCTAATATTATAGGTGTTTGCACACATCTGCGTGTTGTCAAGTGAATTGACATGTACAACCATCTTTAAAAAAAGCTAGATATCTATGGTGTGTCATCATTTATTGAAAAAACTTGGGCAATTGCATCTCTGGACTTGTGCTTAATAGCAGTGTAAATGTATCCCCAGTTATAATATATGCCAACCAGTAATATTTTTTTAGGGGAATGTATTGTCACCTTATACCAAAGTAAAACGCACGAACTTTTTTCCTCCAGGCGATTACACTATATTGGGGGTGTTTGGCGGAGAAAGTATCATGAGAACAGAGGTTGGGCCAAAACCATAAATCGTATGAATGAACTCCAGTATACATTTAGGTAAAACTGGAATATGTCATTCATAATGTCTTGAAGCGATACCTTCTTTTTCTCTCAAGTTAAATTAATATTATAAGCGTTTATGTTGTTATAGAGGAAGTACATTGTGAACATTCCTTGTTGATTACATGCCTAATTCTAGTTCTTGGCAGAAATTTAAGCTTGTGAAACCAACAATGAAAATAGGCGCCTAACTAGTAAAGTCATGATCATTTACTAGACTCGTACTATGCTGCTTTAAACCCAAGCAAATCGACTTGCACCAAAAAAGCTAGAAAGATAAGCTGAAAGTAAAAACCTAAAAAGTTAAGCTACATCAAAACTGATAGCTATGCTTTTCACTTTGCAAAATTCAGATCAATGCGGAATACTTGTTTAATTTTTTTTTGGCACAAATATTAAATGGAATGGTAAAACCCGTCATAAACATCGCAAGTAAATTCAAAGACAGCAAGCTTTTTTTTTTCAGCCAATTGGTAGTATTTCACACCAAATTATTTAAGCTCCTAGAAAAGACGTCAGTGTGCATGTCCAAATTAGTTTAGCGTGAAAAATGACATAACGTTTTGGCCACCATTTTATCGTCGATCTTTTTTTTTTCCCCAGACAAACACAGCGTCATTATGACCACATCGTTTGTTGGTTTTATGCAAAACCTGTTCTCACCTGAAGAAAAAAAAAAGCTATAAATACAGTGAGTTTAAATACCTAAATTTTGTTTTTTATTCATCTCTTATCAAAACAAATATGTCTGCTTTTAACAACAATAACCACAACTTAAACAACACCTCCGCCGGTATCGAAGGCCAAGGTTCTAACTTAGCCTCTCAAGGCATTAATCGTCAACAACCCAATGAATTGAATGAAAACCATGGTATTGCTGCCACTGGATTAAACAACCAGCCTCTCGATACTCACTCTAGTATCCCATCCACTCGTGGTAATGATTTGAACTATGCTGGTGCAAACATTGCTGACACAAGAAAAGTGGATCAACAAGCCGCCTATGGAAATACTGCCGGACAAAACTTAAACTCTGACTCAAACCGCACTGGTGGAACAGGTATTCCTCCTGTTAACACAGCTGAACACGTTCGTCGCAATGCTGCTGAAGAAGCCATATCTGCTGGTCACCACGGTACTCATCACTCAGGCAACAATAACCTTTCACATGAAAGAGAACTTCATAATGTTGGTACTGGCCCTACAGCTCTTGGTCACCACAATGAACACTCTACTGGCCATAACGGTGTAGGTCTTGATGAAAAGACTCGTATCGCTTCCCACAACGCCACTAATGTTACACATCATCATCACCCCGATGACCCTGTTGCTGTCGGTCCTTCTTCCACTCCTGGTCAACACCATACAGGTGCTCCTCTTGGGGCTGGTCTTCCTGATCAAGATTTGAAACATTCAACTGACAAGCGTCATAATGAAAAGCATGGTAACATCAGCCACAAGGAAGAAGAAACTAAAGTTAGCGCCGGCGACAAGATTAAGGGTAATCTTGAAAAGATCGTTGGTAAGATCAGTGGTAATGAAGCCAAGGTCGCTCAAGGTGAAAATATTGCCCAGGGCCGTAGTGTTTAAATGCCAGCAGATACCATCCCTTTTAAATACCTCATTTAGTCTATTAGTTTTGTAAAATCTTTTACAAGTTATCAATATGTGTATATAATTAATAAATTGAATATTTTGTCATAAATTTAAACATAAATTGTATTTTATTTTTCTTAACGTTAGACTTCCCCATAAATTCGTAGTCGTGTATCGTGGCGTGTGAAGGCTTTTTTTCCAACTGTCTAAACCATCAGTTTTTTTGTGGATACTACACAGAGATTAACATATACGGAACATTCACAAGTAAACTGACATGACATAAAATTGAAAACCTTGCCATATGTTTGTGGTATACCTGCAAAGCGTGGTATTCATTCAAACGTTTATCATCTAGACAATCAAACAGCTTCGAAAAAATAAATCAGCTCGTCCATTTCAACGCATTGGAAACAACAGTCAGGATGGAATCAAAGAATAAAGCACATGAAATGCGAAAACCTTGATACGATATCTATGTCACTTTAATTATGACGTTTCTAAATAGACTCTTAATTTATGAGCACCTGGCAGATAAATTACAGAGTACTATCACTGATGAATGTATGAGTTGAAGCTTCTATTACGGAACTATATATTTAAAAATATCGTCGAAGAGCTTAAACCAAGGGATTGTCTGATTTTCAATAAATCAATGAAAGATGGATACGTGATGAGAATGGCAAAATCTTGTCTGTTGCAAATATCAGTAGATGGTCAACTAAAGCGGTCATGATCCATATCTATAAGTGTACTCCTGGCATACGCTGAAAATTTTCCCGCACAAGAATGAGAGTAATAAAGGAAGAGAATGATACCTAGGCTTATTAACATTTCGAATAGGTTTGTTGATAAGAGGAAAGTACGTTTGTGCCTTGTGATTTTACCTAGGGGCTCCGGTACCTTTCAAAGTATATTTGACGTAATAGAAGAGGATAGCTAGACAGTCAAAAGTATCAGCTATAACTTCTGGCACCTAAACGTGCTGAACCATAAAATTTGGTCTTGTTGACAGAGACATGACGGCTTGTTGGAATAGAGCCTTCTGATCATTTTAGATATTTCTAATTCAACAGCCTTATCTTCTACAGGCTTGTACAAAGTACTGTGATACTTCAGATAGGCCTGAAACGTTTGATCTTCAACCAATGACTTTTGTCATGTAATATCTCCAATGCCGACATTATAAATGGCGGTAATAACGTATTTTGGGATTGTCATAGATCCAACTAAATATCACATTTTATTTCAAGCTGTGGTAGGTTTAGTCACTCTAATAGTGATGTCAAAGTAGGTTAATACTAATTGTATTATATCTCTTACAATTCTAAACCTCTTCTACAAATCATAAGGAGACCTTATTGTTTCAATTATGACATCGATATCCGAAGAAGTGAGATTTTGAAGGACAGCTTTCGGTTCTTTTGTTCGATATCGAATTCTCCTTCTTTGACAGAATCAACTTCTTTTTCCTTTTTTTTTCTTCTTCTTCTTTTTTTTTTGCAACCTTTTCAATTATTAGAAGTATTTTTCGAAGAGTTCACAAGTAGATCGCATATCCTTCCGGCATTGCAACCGGAGCAGGCGAAGTAAACGTTTCCTCTAAAATCTTTTTTACGATAGAAAGAAAAGAGCTTTATGTTATTATACAGCAACCGTCAACACCACAAAAGAACTCGTTTAGAAAGGAAACTGCAGTTAGTCAAATACAAGCCATTTGTGAACGAGAGACCAAAGAGAAGATGATTTCAATTTGCTAAAGGGCATGAAAATTAGATTTTGGAGGAGTGCCGCCGGGATATTTGAACCGATGAATGCAGCTCATCTTGTCCTGTCTGTGTTTAAAGAGGAACAAAGGTAGCCATGCTTTAAATAAAAAAGGTCTTCTTTGTCGATTGGGGGGGGGTATCACTTACAAGCGTCGAGGAAAATTGGTATTTTTTTTTTTTTTTTTTAACAAAGAACCGTGATCAGGTCTATAAATCCGTGTTGAAAAATTCGTACAACCCCCATTAGTTCTCTAATTCTCATGGAAGACAATGCGCCAATTCACCCTGCGAGAATGGAAGAGCGATTATTGAATGGTACAGTTTGAGTGGCCACCATAATCGACTGATATAAATCCGATAGAGAATCTTTGCATGAAGTTAAAACGCAGTAAAGAGAAGCGTCTAAAACAGAGAGTTGTTAGGAGTAATTAGCGACTCTTCATGGAATGCATTGATTAAAAAAAAAAAAAAAAAAAAAAAAAAAAAAATACAGACAAATTGGTTAAACGTATGAAGGATGTAATCATTTTAATGAGGTTGCCATATCTGTCTTTGTATTCAGCAATGTCTAATTGTACATCTATTAAGTTTTCCATTAAATCCAGCTACGAAAGCACCAAGAAGGTCCTTGTGATCATTTACATGTAGATCCTTGGTATATCGCGGAGTTATTCAGCAAGCTCATAAATGCGAATAATGTGCTTGCTATTCTGTGGTTTTTGTTTTAGCATGCCAATACATTGTCAAGAATCCAAGTATATTAAACAAGGAAAATCAGAATCAAAATACGTCAAACATGATCCAGTTGGGTTGCCTTTGACTTGGCACATAGGCTTGACCTTGATGAACTTTCGAAGTATAACAAAAGTGGATTTTAAGTAATTTAAATGTGAAAATTGATCTGTTAAAAACCGAACTCTGATCACTTCAAACTTTGGTCAGAAGCCAATAAGCGGATTTAGTTCACTGGGGAAAGGAAACTTTGGGAGGTGTTAGATGCACTGTAGGTGTAACATTCCCCGCATGATTTTTTATTTCTTCTGTAAGAGAACCTTACATATACATTCGTCAGCAAAATACAACTATTTTTGAGGACATATGGGCCGTTAGAATCTTAAGGGGATCGTCCGGCCATGTCAAATACACTTCTAAACATGAAATGAAGCAATGCATATCATTTTCTGACCAGGCAGAAAAAAAAAAGAGTATGGGTGTAGTGAATTCATCCTACTAGCACGCAAGTGATTAATCTTCTGGGTTGCTAAATGCATCTAGAACTTGATTTTTTTTTTTTTTTTACTTGGGAGGTTTCGTTTCAAATGGTTACACAGTGTAAACAAACAAACGAAAAGATACAATTCTTCAAGTCTCTTTTTACGGCTCAAAATGTTCTACACGACATCATACTTGGAATCAGAACTTGACCAGGAATCTGATGGTGTTAACCTTCAGTGACAAAGTGGTGAATTGAATGCCATGTTTACACGCATATATCAATATGACGTTATAAAATAAATAAACAAACAAAACAAAAAAAAAAATTTCTCACAGTAAAAAAAGGGAGATTGCTGCGCAGTTTTCGTGTTCTTCACTCTTTCTTTACTCTTATCTTCTAGTATGGTGATCGGGCAATATTCCAAAATCCGTGAACGTCAGGAAGACAGGCTGTTTGTCGGTGTAGCTCTTTTAAAGGAGTCCGGTTCTTTAAAAGTTATGACTTGGAATGAATCTTAAATGACCCAGGTTTTCTGTCATGGTTATAATTGTAGCATTTATGGTACTTCCTTCGACCCATTACTCTTATCGCAGTCTAGTTACATCTTCTTGCAAGGTGGTCTAAGCGGTAAGGTGAACGTACCAGTACTTTAGCACGATTGTAGGTGCTGGGAAAAAGCCTCATTGTCTTTAGGTAAGGGGCATTCATTTCAAACCTTGTAAATCACGCTGGGGGTTCCATTCTTTTTTTTTATTACGCTAGAGATAGTGGAGTTCCCTATAGTGTGTATTGGTTCGCCACCCTTGTCACTATTTCCTGTGGGTACGGGGTATCTAGTCCTAAACCAACTGTTGGTCCAATATGCGAATCATCGTGCTGTGAACGCGTTGGCAAAAACGTCACCCCAACATGGCGTCGGTGGCAGTTGGGTCTTTTATACTTTCTTTGCTGTGCATTGTGGGTAGGCAGCACTTGGAAGATATTAGAGTCATCTGTAATTCTAGGAGGAAGCGGGTATTTCGAGAGCAACACAAGAATAATAAGAGTAAAAACTTTTTGGGTCAGGATGTGCTTTCACCTTCTCGTGGTCTGACCTGTTAACCAACTCCTTGTTGGGAACTAAGAGAAGCACACTTTCTTTATCTTTATTTTACCTTTAAATATAAGTTTTTGTTTGCAACCATGAATTAAGTCTTTCTTTTTTGTGTATGTTGTATTGCTTTTATTTTTTATATTTATTTTTTTATATTTGAAACAATTCCAGCTTATGAAGATTTGTTTTATGTTGGCCAATAGGAATAATCCGGTGCATTTATTTCTTTTGTCGTTGGCATTGAATTTAAAAGTCCTTTGTGCAGCGTAAGCAAATGTATCGAGAACCTCAAGACATTCGCTATCATCTTGGTACTATGTAGCTATCTTGTAAAATTTTAAGAATAACTCTAGACATCTATATAATATTTAATTTAACCAGGTCCAGTAAGAAAGAAAAAAGTAGCAGCAGAAAGATGCGCAATCTTTATTTCTAAAAAGGACCAGTTGTTCAAACGCAGCTTGGTTTATCAGATCTATTTAATTGAGGGAAAAAAAGTTGTAAATTGTCCGCTAGCATGACTGAACTTGATGTAATGCTATTGAATCAATGAAGTCCATTATTTATCACATTTTTATACAAAAGTAGTGAGCACCTTAAACTAATATAAGCAGAAGGGGAAAGCAATCTTTCTTGCAAATGTTTATGACACGATCATCGACTTTAAGGTAATTAAAGGACAGCATATTATGAATTTGATGTATTATTTTATAAGGGCAAACCTTTTTAAAAATGTTCGACAGTAGTCTAATCCCAAATAAAACTCTTTATAATTTAATATCAACGTTCAAAAATACAATTTTAGCTTATGATAGTCAGCCCCCCCCCAAAAAAAAAGAATAGTGAGGGTGGGTAACAGAGACTTTCAATTTTTCAGGACTCAAAGTCTGATTGCAACACAGCCTAATCGCAACACAGCCTACTCGTATCTGATGCTTAACATCGATGATTATTTTTGCCAGCATTTTTGATACTAGGTACAATTCTTATTAATTCAAGTTGTAGCTTAGAATACCTTATATCATTCAGAGATAAATTTGATTATACTATTGAACTAAGGGGATGCACCCTACAACAATAGCGTCTTTAGTTTTTCTGACTAATAAATCCTTTTTTATTTATTCAACTGTTGCTGTCTTATCATATATAAAACTCAACATTACTCAATGACTAGTTAGTAATACCCATCACAAAACAAAGATCGCCGGAAAAAAAAAAAGCATAAATGCAAATCATTCAACCTTATTTCTTTCGTGCTTTGAATAAATAGTTTATATAAAAGATAAAAAACCAACTCTTATATCTAGACATGTATTTTTTGATTTCTGTGCTATCATTCAGAAAAGTATGAATGAGCTAATATTCCTGTTGTAAACTACGACAGTAAATGCTTACTTTATTTGGCTTTGAGTATAAACTAACCCTCATTCTCGACCGTCTATGAATGAGGCAACCAATGCAGTTGTTTAGACTATATTTTGGTTAGATCAATAAATGATTCATTAAGTCGCTGTTTTTTTTTGTCCCTCGTTAAAGCTTATTTGAAGAAAATTCCATGCCCTCATTTACCAATACGTACATTTCCTAAAAGTGGTTCAATACAGTCAGGACTTAATAACGCTAGCGATGTAAGGCATAGTTTTGGTCTAGAAAAGATAATCATTGTATAACTTTAAATTGTGATCTGCTTGCGCACATTGTATATTATTTGAGCTTAGCTCGTAAATATAGCAATAACAATAATTGGTGCTCACCTTTTTTGTTGTAAAAAGGAGCAAGATATTTAACTTTTCCATTTGAAAGACATTGATAAAAATGTTACACTGGTTAGTTGCAATACCTTTTAACGTTTTAGCTAGATCCGAATTGGCCAACTGCATAGTCCAATGATCATTACTTGAACTCAGACAAAATTTGTGGAAGATACATCCCCCCAATGACAAAAAAAAAAAAACCATTTTGGCTGATTGTCAAAACATTTATCGCACGTTAATTAAGTTTTTTTTATCCATCTAACCCTCCCCGGGTAAAGATGCCCCGCTTGCATAATCATACTAAACTCAATTAAACCTTTGCTCTCTCCAAACCCGAATAAAAAAAAAAAGATTATACCATTCAAAGCACGCGATTTTTTTTTTTTTTTTTTTTTTTTTTTTTGCCAAGCGTGTACAAAAAGATTTCCGAGTAGCACTTTTTGTTCTCAGATGGGCATTTTATAAAAAAAAAACTGTGTGCAAACTCTCTTTGAAATGGCCCTGTATACATATCAGAGTTCCTCGATCAAAGCTATAAATAATTTTTAAAGTTTTTTTTTTTTTTTTCTTTCTGTGTGTATCCCGCTCTACGATGAAAACGTACCAAACTAGGATTGTGATGAAAACATGTTTCTTGTGCCACATCAGTAGAGCGGCTTTAAAAAAAGTTTGTGAAATGAAAAAAACTCATGCCAAAATTTAAAAATATAGAAGTTTAGGCTATAAAAACAAAAAATTGGATTTGGGTGCCACCAACTTTTTGAGGGGAAAAGTTGGGGGGGTGTAGGACAAAAAGTCCGAAATTATCTGGGCTTTTAGATGAAAACATTCTACCAAAATTTGGATAAACATGAGTGCATATGCTGTAAATAAAAAAAAAAAAAAAAAACCTATTTTCTACCTACTCAGAGAGAGAGAGAGAGAAAACATATACCATTCGGAGCGAAAATAAATAAAATAAAATTAAATTATTTAAAGGAATGATCAGAAGGAGTATAAAAATAAGAAAATCGAATTCCCCTCTCTTCGTAACTTTCCCCCATTCTTATCTCTCTACCGCAACAAAACAACCCAGTCCAAACAAATGAGACTTGTTTCTACTTCTTCTATTCTTGTCTACTCGCTTTTCTTTGGCTCATTCTTCCCAGGATTATTAGCCGAGACTAGCTTTGGCAATATCACCACAAGGAGTATCGGCGCTCCTAATTCTTTGGACTATGCGGTTTATTTCGGTAAAATATTTAGACCCAATCGCTACACCAAATCAAATCAAAAAAAAAAATACTCATTTACCCATCTGATCTAGAGAGAGACGGTAAAGTTGTATCCGCATTTCACGATATTCCATTATTCGCAAATGAAGAAAAAACATTGTACAACATGATTGTCGAAATCCCTCGCTGGTCCAATGCAAAAAACGAGGTACATATCACACTAAAAGAATTATCTGCTCATTTTTTTTTAAATATGGCATGGGATAACAAGATTCTTTTTTTTTTTTTCTTAAAAAAAGATCACCAAGGAAACCCCTCTTAATCCAATCAGACAAGACGTTGCTAATGGCAAACCAAGATTTGTACCAAATATATTTCCTTTTAAGGGATACATATGGAACTATGGTGCTTTTCCACAAGTAAAGTTGACTTAATAATACTAAACAAAAAAATCCCGTTTTTTTTATACATTAACATTGCATGATAGACATGGGAGGATCCTACCTATAATTCCCCTTATACCGGACAAAAAGGTGACAATGACCCAATTGACGTGATCGAAATTGGTGACAGCGTTGCTACAGTTGGCCAAATTAAGCAGGTCAAAGTCCTCGGTATCATTGGTTTATTAGACCAGGGAGAGACGGATTGGAAAGTCGTTGTTCTTGACGCTACCGACCCATTAGCAGAAAAAATAAATGGTAATACCTCTTAATTAAAAAATGTGACGGAAAACATGGAAACCCTCCCCCTCCCCCCCCCACTTCTCTCTCTTCTTCTCGAGTTAAATTTAAACATTTTTTTTTTGTCATTTAGATATCCAAGATGTCGAAACCTATAAACCTGGTTACCTCAAATCTACAGATACCTTTCTCAGAGTGTACAAACTTCCTAGTGGCAAAAAGGAAAATGAAATTGCATTCAATGGAGAAGCTAAAAATAAGGTATTTTTTTAACCACAAGAAACACATTGCACGTGTAAAAAAAAAAAAAAAAAAAAAAAAAAAAAAAAACTTGAAACTAAACGTTTTTTTAATTTACAGGATTTTGCTACTAGTATAATTTTGGAAACACATGAACATTGGAGACAACTAATTAATGGTACCACACCAAGACAGAATATAGAAACGTAAGTTATAGGAATGATGAATTTTTTTTTTTTTTGCATGAAAGAATATACCACTGATTGTACTACATAGGATCAATTTGACCGTAGAGGAGTCTCCCTATAAAGTAGACTACAGTAATGATACAGTATCCAAAGTAAAACAGAGTAATCCTCTTCCATCAGCACCTATTGATGGCTCCAATGATATCTGGTATTACGTATCCTTGTCTAAATAAAAAATTTACAAACTACACAATTTATGTTCGTATCACCCCCTTTTTTTTTTGGCGTTGAATTCTTTTTTTTTTTTTTTTTTTTGCTTGTTTGTTCCCCCTGAAATGCTTTCCAGCGGATTCAATATGAGTAATGTTGTAAAACGACCAGAATTCAAAGAAAAGTTTGTTGAAACAAGCAAAGATCTATTTAAAGTATATACATTCTAAGCAAAAAAAAAGTTGAGAAGTCTGTCACGATGCCAAGTTATTAAAAAAAAAAAAAAAATGTTTCTTAGGGCTCAACACTCTACACCACATCGGACGAAGCTTCTATATTTTGGGACAATTACCTTATCCTACCTGTCAATGCTTTATGCATTACACAATTAATCCAGAGTCAATCCGAAGAAAGTCTTCTTGATTTACAGCACAACTTGAGTGGCCTCTTTCTCGCATGTCTAGAAAAACTAGAGACGACCAGCACTTGCATGAGCGACACAACACGTCAAAAGAACGCCTTGGCAGTACTCACTGTCCTCATTCGAAATCTCTTTTCCAAGAAACGTCTCACTCATTTTAATATCATTTCCATTCTAACTGGACTTGATAAAGCAGATGTCTTGTTTTCGAAATTAGTCAAAGCCATGGAGACAACTTTAGAACAAGACGAATTAAGGCATCTTGTGTTACAATTAGCTTTAGTCATGTCTGCCGGTAGCGACAATGTCAATCAAAACGGATTGAATGGTTATTTCATGACAAATGATCTATCAAAGACACTGTTCAAGGTAAATCACACACACAGACAAAAAAAAAACTTGACTTGCCCGCCCCCCTTTTTTTTTTTCTCTCTTTCAATTTTAACATCACGTCCAGATTTTGGCAGAGCAAGAGACAGATCAAAATGACACAAGAGATATCGTCATGTTATTAGGAATGCTGTCAAATTATAATAAATATGAATCCAGAAACCCGTATCTAATACATCTAACAAATTGCAAGCAAACACAAGCATTGGAGGTACTTTTGCATATAGAACAACTTTTTTTTTAAAAGACTTTTACCGCATTTATTCATTTTTATCTTTCTTGTCTTTACGATAGAATATTATCAGCATGTATACAACAACATTTATCAGTCTCAGAAGGTAACAAGGTTATGACGAGTTAAAATGTCAGCATTTATACTAAACCCGTGTGAGATCATCAGCCGATATATTCAAATAAACGACGATGAAGAAACTCTTTCCAAAACGTTGGTTACATACATGTCACGTTGGTTTTCTTCTTCAGCTCCTCCAGCTCCTTCAGATGCTGAAAACTCACAATCTTTATCCAGTCTGTAAGTAGAGCCCTTTCATAAAAAAAAAAAAAAAAAAAATTGCAGGGTTCATCTAAAACCAGCTCCCCATACGTTCTTGTGACTAGGCCATCAGCACAGACAGCTTTACTTTTGCCACTTTACGATTTTATCAATACCAATTCTTATTTTGTCAACACGCTAGTCAATACATGTTCTCGTATCGATGCAGAGTCAAAAGATCAACCGGATGACAAGACGACGTTACTGACAGCTCTATTATCATTTGCATCCTATCTTTTTCAAAATAATCGCACAGATCGAACAAATACCTATTCCAGATTATTATTAACCATCCTCTTGCGTTTGATGGAGGAAAATGCAATCATGAACTATATCGCAAGAGAGGGTTCCTCTGCAAGCGTTCGACTCTGCCGTCAGGTACGCTTTTTTTTTTTTTTTTTCCTTTCACTGCACTCTATTTTTTTTTTTTTTTTTTTATAACAATTTATTTTAGCGCTCACCACCACTCCCATTGCTGAAATCCCAACGCTCCTTGTTTTGCATTGTGTTAGATAACATGTTACTTTTTATCAAGCATAACGTTCGAAAGAAGTTGGATCTATTTTCCTACAAGTAAGGGCCGTTTTTTTATATATACATTTCCATACTGTTTCTTTTTTGTATATTCATCTCTCTCCTTGTCTAGACTTGCGTACTCTGTGATTCATCGTATCCTGTGTTTTATCAGCAAGCACAAGATTAGACTTGGTAAAAAAAAACTTTTTTTTTTATTATTCTTTATTCTAGCAACCTCACTAAACCATGATCCCCCCCAGAGTATCATTGGGTGGAACTTTGGCCTACTTTAACCTCTGTGCTCCATTTTAATGCACTACGTTTAGAAGATCTTCAACAAAAGGAAGAATTTGGTTTATATCTCGGATCCGTAAGTTTTTTTTTTTTCTTTAAAAAAGACATGAGAACCTTAAAAATTAATCACATGCTACAATAGTTCATGAGTGTGTTTAATATGTGTGTCACCTATGGCGAGACATTCTTATCGGACACAAAGAGTTACGATAGTCTTTACTATGAAATCATTCGAGCTACCACGGATTTCATCCAATTGTCTGAATATGGTAATATCAAAACAAAACCCATGTCACGTCAAAAAAAAACACTTTAATAACAAACCAAAAAAAGTAAATCGATCCGTGATGGTAAAGTCAAGAGGAGATAGATCGCCTTCTATTACATTTAACGAATTTTACAATATTCAATTGATTTGCAATCATTTCAAACCTGCACTGGATGAATGGCAAGCTGCTAAAAATATTAAATTTCCTACTCCAGAACAAGTGATGGGTAAAAAAAAAAGTGTATATAGGAGGAAGAAAAGATAGAGGGATTTTTTTTTTTTTTTTTTAATTGACTTTTTTGTTATTTAGCTATCATCAATGTAAATTATGCAACACTGGAATTAAAGGCCATGGATAAACTGGATTCGTATGTGTCCTTTAATGAAATTCCTGCAGAAATGGGGTTCTTTCGTCAAGTTTTGAGAGTAGTCGTGATTGATTATTTAGAATGTTATAACATTGAGCATATCAGCTTAAAAAAATAAAGGGGTGGGGGATAGAATATATATATATATTTATTTTTAAATTATAGTAGGTGGGGGATATCAGAATTATACATTGAGGTTTTTTTTTTATAGTTACATAATCACACATGGATCATCTTTTAATTTAGCACCTTTTTTAACAACCAGACGTGGTCGAGTCCAGGTAGGATCACCTTGCACTTGTATTGGTGGACATTTTTTTGGTGGTGGTTTTTCTTCTTTACACCCACAACCAGCTTCTGCCACCACTGCTACAGGAGCTGCACCATACATGGGCATACCCATTCCATAAGGTTGATTGAAATTAAACACCAAATTAGGTCCCATACCACCTACTGTAGGGCAACCTCCCATCATCATGGGTCCTCCCATCATTGGCATTGGACTGCCCATCATTGGCATCGGACTAGCCACTACATGTGCTGCTGGCGCTCCTCCTCCACCTCCTCCTCCTCCACCACCGCCACCAAGCTTCTTTTTATCTTCTGGCGACATGGGAGGCATGGTAACTGGCTTAGGTGCTGGCGGTGGTCCTAAATCTTGCATTGTTTGACAAAAAAAAAAAGTATGTATGTGTATAAAGAAAGCAGAAAGAAATAAAAAAGAGAGAGAGAGAAAGAGAGAATCAAATAAAAAAAAAAAATGCAAACATGCAAGAAAACATTGTACAAGGTTTTTCCCTAATTTGACGCAAAATAAAAACATTGAATTTCTTTTTCGTGTCGTACACTTTAACTGGTTGAGATATTTTTAGGATCTTCCCCCTCCCCCCCCCCACATTTCTTCCGTGCACTTTCTTTGTTGTACACCCAACACCCACAAAAAAAAAAGTAACGTTATAGAGTTAAACTTAGCCCTTGATACCTTTTATATATATCTTTAGACAAAACATCATGCCTCTTATAGTTTATAGTGACGGAGTTTGTCATGTAAAACTTCACTCTTTTCATACATTTATATACGCGCGTCTGCCGTTAAAAGATTTACAGAATAACCTCTTACTAATATAAACAGTACATACCCCACATCAAATACTTATGTATTTACTTGACTTATTCAGTAACTTAAATTAAATACGACGAGGTAAAAAAAAAAGTTAGTCTCGCAGAAGATTGAACGCTGTGATCTTTTTCACATACAAAAAAAAAAAATGATGATTTATACTGCCCCAAGAAGCTGGCTTTGGATTTATAAATACACTATTTATGCAGCCCTATTCCCCTTTTTACGCGTCAGACATGAATAGACTTTTTTTTTTTTTTCTTTCCTCAGGTAAGCCACATAACTGTCAAAATAATATTAACATGGAGAAACACTAAATAACCAAGAGAATATGACAACAGAATAACTACCTTTTTCATTCAATCTACTAATACAAGAAGATCGTTGATGTGGTCTGGAGTCTTTTTATTGATGAACAATCTTGAGCGTATAAAATGAATACATGGATGAAAGCATGTCACTGCTTTGAAATGACTAAAAAAAAAAAAGAGTTCAATCATAAAAACAGCAAAGTTCGTCCATGATATCTTAAACAGTTTTGGCCCCCCACCCACCTATTTAAATCACCGAAATAGCATCACACGGCCACCCTTAAAAAATGACAAGTGCTCAAGCACGCGCCCTCCCCCTCTCCGTTGTAGGTGACACAATCACTTCAAAAATGGAAAGAATACGTCACCCAATCATTTGTTTGGTTTACAATTTATTTTCATATAGGAAATCTTTTTTTTTTTATATATTTCATCCATCTCTTTCTTTTTTTTTTCGATTAACTCCAAAGGTATAATCATAATGATGATGATGATAAAGGAGAACTAAACATGAGTTTATATATAAAAGCTTTTTTAGAAGGATGCCTAATATCACGATGAACGTTCGACCTTCTACAGGTCAAATCTTTAAAGTCGAGGTGGATACAGATTCCACCACGGTTCAAGGACTGAAAGAAATTATTGGAGAAAAGATGGGCAATATAGACGCTGCTAATTTAAAATTGGTGTTTTCCGGTCGAATTTTGAAAAATGAAGATCTTTGCAGTGAATGCAGTAAGTTTTCCCTTTTTATTATTATTATTCAGCGTCTTTAAACGAGTGGGGCGATACAAGCAGAAAGAGAGAAAAAGAATCTAAAAAAAAAAAAAAATGTCATTAGAATTAACCGCTGGATGTACTGTTCATGTGGTTCGTTCAGGTGGAAACAAAACACCCGTTCAAACTACACCTACTTCACCCAACACGAATAACAGCAACTCAACCACCACCACCACCACCACACCTGCTTATACTGCTGCTACCGCCATGCAGGAACCCATTCCTCCCATTCCTCCTACCCCTAGTCCTTCCACATTGACAGGTCTTGGAACTTCACCATTTGGAGACATGGGAATGCCAAACATGGACCCCGAAGCCATGCGACAGATGATGGATTCCCCTTTTATGCAAAATATTATGGGCAATACAGGTTTGTGAAGCTTGTTGTTGTGATGTCCATCCCATTGTTTTTGACTGATATATATATATCTATATACAGATTTTGTGCGTTCCATTATCATGAGTAATCCTCAAATGAAGGCATTAGTCGAACAAAATCCTGAATTGGGTCATGTTATCAGTGATCCTGCCTTCTTGAGACAATCGATGGAAATGATGAGGTAAACAATTGGATAAGCTTTCCCCCCCCCACCACCACCACCAAAATTGACCCCCCACAACCCCCTCCTTCCTTAGAAACCCTCAATTGATGAGAGAAATGCAACGAAATAATGATCGTGCTTTATCAAATATTGAAGCAATTCCCGGTGGATTTAACCATTTACGAAGAATGTACAACACTTTTCAAGGTCCAATGGAATCCGCCATGGGATCAGACAGTACAAGTTCTTCTGATGAGGCCAATGAACGTTTGGCAAGACAATTAAATGTAGAAAGTGTGCCTGAACATTCATTAAACACACAAGCTTTACCTAACCCATGGGCCGCTTCTTCTTCTGGAAGCAATACAGGCACGCCTTCTTCACCTCCCCCCGCTTCAGCAGCAGCAGCTACTACTACGAATCCTTTTGCAGCTTTAACAGGTGCTGGTAACAATGGATCTGAAAACCCTCTTGCCGGTAAGTCCCCCCCCCATTTTTCACATTTTTTTTTTTTTTTTTTGTCGTATATCATTATTCAATGTTTCTCTCCTCTCCATTTTGTAGCTTTACTTGGTGGTGGTGGTGGATCCATGTTTCCTTTTGGCCAACCACAACAACCCGCACAACCCACACAACAACAAGGTGGTGGTAACGGAACACCCTTCTGGGCAGACCCTAATTTTATTCAAGCAAGCATGCGAATGCAACAAATGATGTCGGGAGCCAATAATACAAATACAGCACAACCAGATCAACAACAACAACAACAAAATATGTTTCAACAAATGATGATGGGACTTTCTTCAAATAGTAACGGAGGAGGATTTGGGTAAAAAAAAAAAAAAAGCGTGTGGACTTTTTTATCAAAAAAAAAAAAAAAAACTCATCTTTTTTTTTTATTAGTGGATTCCCTGATTTCGGATCACAACAACAGAACGTGACACCATCAGAACCACCTGAGGTGCGCTTTAGAGATCAATTAGCACAATTAGAGGAAATGGGTTTTTCAGAAAAACCTGCTAATGTGCGTGCATTGTTAGCTACAGGAGGCAATGTGCAAGCTGCCATTGAATACTTGCTTACCTTATAATAATAAAAATAAAATAAAAATAAAAATAATAATAATAATGTGTGTGAAACGGAGGTTTTTTTTTAATTAAGTGGATTTGTAAGGTGGATTTACTAGAGATACAGTACTGGGAGTGACAGGAGGTAAATTTAATTCGTTCAAGAGAGCATTCATATCCAATTTAAAAGGCTTCGAATGAGCCGAAATAGAGTTACTTTGAGTTGAGTCAGAATCCACTTCCTCTTCTGCACTTAATTGTGCCGTCAGTGCTTCTTTTAACGTCGCTACACGAATGCTATTCTTTCGATCTTCCCGTGTCACCTTTTCTCTCTTTTGATAAAAATAATATATAAGATTTTTTTTTTTTCCCTTTTTTTTTTTACATATTTTATTATCAATAACTTACCACAACGTATTCAGAAGAGGGTTCCCAAGGATTAGATAATTTGGGTTTATTTTCATTTGAGTCTTGGAAAATTCTTGTACGAATCGATTGATCTTTTTTCACTATTTTAGCACACACACACACGAAATTAGTAAGGGTAAAACCACGAGTTTTTTTTTTTAAATATAGAAACTCACAAAAAGCATCTGATCCCCATTCCGCAAATAATTTCGCTTCCAATTCCAATCCATGAGGATCTCCTTTTCCACGTAATTTGCCTTCTTTGGACATTATTTCCACAACTTGACTACGATCAATCCAAACCGCGCTACTACTATTCCTTCTCCTCCTCCTTTCCTCCTCTTCTTCTTCATCCTGCTGAACCGTACGACGACGAAGAAACACCTCGGGTTCATATTGCATTGTTTCATTCAACGATTCCGTCAACATGACATCATCGATCCTCAATCCTCGCTTTTCTTTTACCTCTTGCATATACTCCGCTAACGCTGGAAGTCCATAGTATTGACTCATCATCAGGAACGATGAAATCAGGCACGATTCTAAAGCATACGCTCGTTCATCCATCCCTACATCTCCGTCTCGAATACTCTGTTGTATCTTAAAGATCAAGGGTACAATCATCACCGTCGCCGCCATACCAAATTTACGTGTCAATTGACACAGGAACGAATAAAAGAAACGTAAATCTGTGATATTAAAATCGGGCATCAAAACCCAATCTTGCATCACGTGTACGAGTCGATCCAAAAATATGGCGTCATGATAATGGCTTGCTGCATACGTGTTGGCACTACTACTTTGTTTTAGATGTTAAAAAGAGTTCATTCAAAAAAAAAAAAATTACTGGGCCTGTGTGGGACTTACTCGTTCGCGTGTGAACTCACGGTTTGTAATACGCCATACAGACTCTTGGAAAATGCAATACGCGTCAATGGATTTTTATCATGCAATAACTCGAGTGCGGGGTTCAAGGCTTCATAGGGAAACTCTGTCTCCTGTAAGGTCTGTTTCGATGATCCCATCACGACACTGTCTAGACAACACAAGACAATCAACCGATAATCATAGATGGACATGTTATCCACTGTCTCTAACGAGGTATTGGGTCGTGTCTTACTCACCAAATACCCAACCATATCATTCAATTGATTCTCATAATACGTCTGTGTTGCTAATCCACCAATCGAATGAACCAGTCCACGTTGAATCACATGACCGTAGCCCACATCATCGTGGTTGGATAAAAACGCATGATGGTGTGTGGTTTTAATGAGCAAGCTGAAAAGTGAGTTCAATACTTCCAGTACACTGATACCCACTAACGGTGTATTGGCATTTAAAATTGAATCCAGAATAGAGACGAGTGAGGCGTATTTATCATTGATCAAGTGATTTTCGTCATTCAAATCCAATTGATGTAATATATCTGACACGAGTAAATATCGATATTGCGGCTAAAAAAAATCAAATGCAGGTTTTGTATGAGTTTAAGAAAAAGGAAAAAAAAAAAATAGGGATTTTGATTTTACCTGTAATGAATCTAATACTAATTTCATAATATTGACTGCCAAGTTAGGAGGCCACCATTTCTCCTTTTTATTCATATATCTAATCAGAAAATAAAATAAAAAAATGAGTTATCCTCTCTACATATATAAGGTATACATTTAAAAAGAAGGGGGGAGGAGATACAAACTCAAATAAGGGTACAAGGGAAAGTCGGACAGAAGGACCAGTGACCTTATTAAACAAGATAGAAATCGTATGGGCTGCCACCCACCCAATCAATTGATCATTAATTACTTTACTATGATTCAATGCTGATTCTCGAATATCAATAGAGCCATCACTTTTTTTTTATTGTTAGCTTCCCTTTTACATCAATTTTATATCATTCGCACTTACTTTGTTTCTAATGCATCCATAGGATTAGAAGAAGAGGCCAGTGTAACAATTAAAGGAGGGAATAAGATATTTAGTTGCGTCTTGAAATCAGAAGACTGTAATGCTCCTGAGGTAACGGCTGCTTGAATCGCACGGTGTCCAATGTATCGCATTCTACAATGATAAAATATTATATACATTAATCGTTGTCATGTGTATGTTTCTCCTCCTTCTCCCTCCTCGCTTACTTTTGAGCGAGCGATGGGTCTTCTGTGGTATAATTACAGAACCCTGCAAACTTTTGAAGGAGTGTTTCGTAATCGGTAGTAAAATCAGCATCGACACCTAATGTGGTTCCATCGTGAAAAGTACAGAACACGATAAACTAATGGTTGTGTAAGTCAATGTGTGTGCATCCAAAAAAAAGGAATTTTTGTTTTGTTTACTTTACTGTTTCGCAAGTGAGGTCAATTAATTCTAAATCTCGAGTATCGAGTAATAGGCTCAAGATCTTTACAATGTACTTTGAAAAGAGGTTGAGGTCACGATGACATGTTTGTATGAGCGCTTTTAATATCAGCAAAGACACTCCGTTACTGCTAAAAAAAAAATGAGTCTCTCTTCTATTTTATTTCTACCAAAAAAAAAAAAAAACCTTTTGCGACCTTTACGGATATCTTTGGTGACTTTACGTTGAAGAAAGGTGCCCACTTTTGTCAATTTGGCAGGTCTGGAGCTTGCATAAAATGTCAGGTAACTAAGCTCGGAAGATCGTGGTACCGTTCCAGTCGGTGGATAACAATTTTTAATGAGTGTAGCATGCTTCACATTACCTATACAAAAACAACCTGTCATTTTTTTTTTTTTTTTTTTTTATGTATAAAAAGAAAAAGAAAAGAGAGAGAAAAAAAAAGGGGGGGGGGACGGGGGTTGGTTTATAAAATATGCGAATTACTATTTGAGTCGCGGGGTTTTTTATTTTCACGAGTTTTTATGGTTGTGATGTATGAATGAGAGAGAGTGTGTTTCGTTTCGGAATTTTAATTTTTTTTTAAAGAAAAAAAAAGGGGGAGAAGGAGAGTTTTTTTGGGGGGGGGGGGAAAGAGAGGCATTCTATTTTATTGTTCAAGCGTGTAACAATGAACCCATTTTACTTTTTTAGAGTACCGATTGTTCATTATTTGTTTGTTCTTTAAATAAAAGCTCTCTTTCCCGAGAAACTGGGTAACCCAGAAAAAAAAAAAAAAGCGAACTCTTTTTAGAAAAGAGTGTATGTAAGTTCCATATATATATATATATTTTTCATGCAGCAGTCGGGACTGAAACGTGAATTTGTGTGTGATTTTATTGGGTAAATATAAGTTGGGGAAGGGTAAATTAAAAGAGAAAGAAAGAAAATTATTAGGCCCACACTTTTAATAAATTATCCCAACTTCCCGTACAAAGAGCCATTCCATCTGCAGCTACTCCCAAACACGACACTCTGTTCTCATGTGAGCTCAAGACACCCACTCTTTCTCCTCTCAAGGTATCCCATACATGACACTTATAATCATCATAACCTCCAAATAATAACCTTCCAGACAGTGAAAAGGCCACAGAGGTAATACCACTAAACACTTGTTCATGGGCAAAGATATTCAATTCTCGATCGGCTCGAAGATCAAATAATCGGCAACTGGCGTCATCTGATCCTGTACCGACTGCATTGCCGCTAGGGAAGAATTGGACTGCATTGATATCACTTTCATGTCCACTAAATGATTGCACGCATTTCTTGCTACGAATATCCCATACCTTGGCAGTAGCATCGCATGCTCCAGACACAAACACATTTGGATTCGATGATATCGACAGGCTAAGGGGGAAGAGATAAGTCACGGCTACATCACTACGCACACACACACACACACACACACACACACACACATACCTCATCACGTCGCCCGTATGATCTGTAAAGTCTTCAATCTTGACACCAGCATCCACATCCCATAGAACACAGGTGGTATCTCCACTGGAGGTCAAAATCTGATGATCACTTAAAAACCTGCAACAACTTAAATAACCCGTATGCCCCGTCAATTCTCTTGCTGGCTTGATCGTACCCGTCTCTCTCAAGGCAAAGACCGAACAGATATTATCCAACCCACCCGAAGCAACAAAATTTCCACTAGGAGCATAGGCACATGTCATGACCCAGGAAGAACGTAAAGGGATAGCATAGATCTTGTTGGTGGTGAAGGCATCCCAGACCAATAATTTACCGTCTTGTGAGGCAGAGACCAAATGTCGTTTATCCGTGGCCCATTGCATAGCGTAGATTTTAGCTAAATGTCCCTTGAGTGTACGTCGTACTTTAAGTGTTAATCGAGGTAGTCTTTCCACACTTTGAGCTGCTTGACACACTATAATTTTTTTATATATATAAGTGTGTGAAATCACCTCATTTTTTTTTTCATTTTTGAACTTCATAAAAAAAAAGGGGGGAATTACTTGCGTGTGGTATCTGCCAACGTTTCTTTACGTTGTTTAATCTTTTCTTTGAGTTTCTCGGCTTCTCGTCTTGCATCTGCTGTTCTCTCTGCTATATCCGCTGTACTTTCACTCATCATCTAAAGAGAGAAAAAAAAAAAAAAAAAAATAGCGGAGAAAAAAACAAGTTGACAGATTTCTGCAAAATTGGTGGAGGGTTACTCCAATTTTTTTTAAAAAAAAGAGGGGTTAAAAGGATTATCGGCAATTTATTTTTTTTCTTTTTCAAAAAAAGTGGAACGTCACGCATAAAGGGGAAGTGTACAAATTGAAAAAGAGTGCACAAACAGGTGGCTATTAGGAAAATAAAATAAAAAAAAAAAAAAAACGTCCTGCGTTTTTTTTTTATATGTCTGTTTATTTTGTTTTAGGCATTTCAATGACATGTTCAGGCATAATGTATTTCACCTCGTCATTATCATCTTCAAATTGAACTCTATAATTCTTGATTTCCTTGCTCTAGAAAATGAAAAAAAAAATAAAATAAATATGAGTGTTGTGGTATGTTGAAGGGATGAGACAAAAAAAAAAAAACCTTGCTAGGAGGGGCAATGACGGTAGCCTTATAGAAACAAGTGGTACCGGGATACAAGGCTAATACATCTTGGCGAGAGGGTATTTCAGGTGATAATTTTGCTTCTTCAGAACTCTTTACAGGAATCACATAACGTGGTGGTAACATGTAACGTCTAAAAATAACACATCAAAATTCCCAATTATCATCGTTATTTTTATAAAAATGATTAAATATAGTACTGTTTTTCTCCATAATCGTCTTGATCCACATCCTCCACCTGATACTTGTTCTTGTCGGGATGGTATTGTAAGACCACAGCAAGAATCCATTCTTCGTTCTTGTCCTTTTCTTTGGGCTGTCTAGCAGCTACAGTGGTGCCTCGTGTAATAATATGGGACGATCCACTGCCATTGATTGTGCTGTGAGTGCTGCTATTGCTGCTGTGAGTGGTGCTACTATAATTGGTTGGGTTGTTGTTGCAGAATAATTAAAATAAATAAAAAAAAAGCTTACTTTGATTCTATTTCTAATCTGCGTTTCTTTCTCTTGTAGTCTAAATAAAGCAAAACTATTAAATTTGTGTAATCCATAATCAAAAAAAAAAAAAAAAACCTTGTTCATTATCTCTTAATGCAACTAGCACAGATATTTTCTCAATTATATCTCCAATTGTCCTATGATAACAAACTAATGTTAAAAATAATCATTAAACATAATAATCAATGTGGTCCCCCCCCCCACACACACACATCCTAAAATTTTATTTTACTTGTATTCGTTGGAGGAAAGTTCGATACCACGTCGATACGTGTCTTTTAACTTTTGCTGGACCAATAAAGTAATACCTATAAATGTCAATTTTTTTTTTTTTTTTTTTTTTTTAGGATTATAATTATTAAGAAAAGTACTACTTATCATAAATCTTTGTGTACCCGTACCTTGTTCCGCGTTGACGGATAATTGGATTTTATTTATACTGTTTAAAATACTTTCTTCGTCCTTTTGTATTCCTTCCAACTTGACCAGGAGCTGACAAATTTGTTTCCACAGGTTTAATTCCTCATGACCATCTTCTAATGGTCTAGATGAGCGTGATTTACGTTCCATTCAAGATAAATATAATTCAATGAAGGGCAATGAGAGAGTAGGGCTGAAGAATAAAAAAAAAAAAAAAGACAAAAAAAGAAAAAACAACAATAACAAGCCTAAAATTTTTTTTACCCAAAAACGTAAACAAAATTTTGTATATGATTAAAATTCCGTTTTTCGCCCTGTCATTTATTAATAGATTTTTTTTTTTTTTTTTTATAAACGAACCTGGTAAAAAAAAAAAAAAAACAACATTGCACAAACAGATTTTTCTCGGTTCTCCTTTTAAACCATAAAGAAAACAATGGCACATGAGTTGTCCGCCTAAAAAAAGGGGAATTTGGGGGGTCTATGTGAGTACAGAAATTTTGTTTGTCCACTCCACCTTTTTATTGTAAATGCAAAACTCCTATTAATAATATTTTTTTTTTTTCTATTTAAACTCTCTCTTTTTTTTGGGTTCGTATCCTTTTTTTTTTCCTTTTCTTCTTTACATCTTTCTTCTCCCTTCATTTTTTATTTTCTTTCTTTTTTTTTTTGTTTCTTCTTGTAGCTCCCACTTGAGAAAACACACACACACACACACACACATACATATACACACAGAACAGATCAGATGAAACTTTCACTCGCTATTATTTCTACCTCTTATTTGGTAGCCATCGCCCAGGCAGCCTCTGTCAAATTCAACGTCATTGCCCCTGGAGCCACCGATGTCAAGGTTTCAGTCAACGGTCAACAAGTAGCTCTTACTGCCGCTGATCCCAACGTCCCCTATTTCTCGGGTGATGCTGAAGCTGGCTCTGCCAAAGACTACAAGGTAACAATAATTAAAAAAAGATGCCACAAACTTGTATATTAAACTCCTATTTTTAGTATGTTGTCGGTGGTACCGAGGAAGGTTTTGCTCGTGCTCTCGATAGCACAAAGACCGCTACCTTGAACGATTTCTATAACCGTCCCGTGACCTATGCTAATATCCCCAAGTTGCCTTGGCCCATCGAGAACAACGTAAGTTTTTCTTCTTTTTTTTTTTTTCGCAGCCCCACTCACAAAATAAATAGCCTCAATGGACTGCCAGTGGACCTAAAGCCGATATCTTTGATGAAAACTATATCCCTTCCGTCTTCTTCTCTGGTGATGCTGCTCAAGTCGATACCTTGGTCAAGACCGTCCCCAAGGACAAGGTCACTGGTACTTTGACTTTTATTGGTTCTGATTATGTCAATTCTTTCCAAAACGTTACCTTTGGTGTCCACGGTGCTGGCAAGAAGAAGAACAATGCTAAACAATCTTGGAACTGGGCTTTAAGTACGGGTGATTACCTTGGTAACCGTAACTTCTTCAAGCTCCGTCATATGGAAGAAGATCCCACCCAAATTCGTGAGCGTCTCTACTCTGATGTCTTGCATGCTTTAGGTACCTATGCCAACGAAGCCAACATGGTGCGTTTATTCATCAATGGTCAAGGTTTCGGTACTTTCAATATGTTGGATGATATCACCGAATACTCCTACATCAATGCCATGTTCTATGGTGGTAAAGAACAAAACCCCAAGGGTCTTCTCTTTGATGGTATGTCCGGTGCTGATTTCCTCTACCATCCTGGTAACTTGGATGGTTACAGTTCCTTCGGTGCTAACAAGGATAGTCCTCAAACCTATGAAGCCATTGACCCCCTTGCCAAGGCCTTTAACGAGACCAGCATGACAGATAATGCAGCTCTTGCCAACTTTGAAAAAATGTTTGATGTCGATCAATTCATGCGTTTCATGGTGATGGAATACTTGACTGGTCATTGGGATGGTTACTGGATGGGTCAAACCAACGATGGTGCTTACAGAGAACCTCCCGCTGATGGTAAATGGTATTACCTCGGTCAAGATTATGATGCTACCTTTGGTGTCAATCTTGATACACCTGATCTTGCCTCCTTCACCTCTGTCTCTTACAAGGATTTCCCCAGTCGTTATCCCGGTGGTATCTTGATTAACCGTCTTCTTGAGAACCCTGATAAGAAGGCCACCTTTGAGAAATACTTGACTGAAACTGTTCGTGTTCTCTTTAACAATGTCACACTCACTAACCGTGTCTTGGCTCTTCATGAATTCCTCTTACCCGATCTTACCTGGGATCGTTCTTTAACTCAACAATCTCCTGGTATTAACTTTGGTTGGACTATTGCTCAAGTCACTGAAAACTTGTGGGGAGCTGTTGGTGCACCTAATGCTAATGGTGGTGGAGCCTCTTGGGGTTTAGTTCAATGGATTGTTGAAAAGTCTGCTGCTGTTGCTAAAGAATTCAACATTGAGGTGACTACTACACCTATGGGTCCTCCTACTACTACTACCAATGGTACTGTTACACCTGGTGCTGCTAACCAACCTGTTGCCTCTGCTACCCCTGGTGCCAGTGGTAAGAAGGATACCTCTGCTCAATCCAATAACGAAAAGGCCGAATCTTCTGCACCCCGTGTTCTCCCTACCGCTGCTGTTCTTTTCGCTGCTCTTTCTGCTCTTGCTATGCTTTAAGCAAAAAAAAAAAAACCAAAAAAAATACCCACAGCCATCTTTTTTTTTTCCAAATTACCCACTAAAAAAAAAAATATCTCGTGTGATCTTTATTCTTTTTTTTTTTTTCAAGCTCAAATCATGTAATAACAGTAGTTTTAATTTAATAATAATATACTAATAAAATAATACCTCTTTTTTTTCCCTAAAAAAAAAAAATAATCATCATCGTACAACATTTTCTAATTTTAATCAGATAAAATAAAGTGTGTTACACACATAAAGGGGCGGGCGGATAGTCAATGTTTTTTTTTTCCCAATTTATTGGGTTACAAATTTTTGGTTTTTTTTTATCCAATTTACAGATCGCATGAAAAAACTTTTTATATCCCTAATTCATAAAAAAATAGAGCTATAAATAATTTCCCCCTCCCCAAGTGTTCCAACTTTTTCTTTTTTTGTAAAAAGAAGAGTTTCCCAAGGAAACCCTACAAAAGTTAAAACTTTGTCCCTTATTGGTCTTTTTTTTTTTCTAGTGTCACCATCGTTCTTTTTTACCCTTTTTAGAAAACTGTAAAAATTAAAAAAAAATTGGGGGGTGACGATCTTTTTTATTTTTCAGGGTTTTCCGGGTAAATTCCTTTTTTTTTTATTTTAAAAAAAGGATTGTTGTTGTCTTTGTTGTTGCTGTTGTTGCTTGACTTGAGAAGCAGAAGGAGGAGGTGGTAATAATGGTACAAGTCCTCCACCTCCATTATTCACTGGTTTTTGTCTTGTTCTTTTCGCCTACCATATAAAAAAAAGATCAGTCATGGGAAGCGTACAAAAAATCGAAATAAAATATTTACTCCGACATTGCCAATGGTGATGTTAATGGTCTGTCCCTCTTTCAAGCTATAATCCTTTTTAGGTGTCGTATCTGCATGAGCTGCACGATTCACTGCCTCTTTTTCGGCACGCAATTGTCTATGAATAACTCAAGTTAGTGTCTCTTTCTCTTTCTTTCCCTTTTTCTCTCTCTCTCTCTCTCTCTTTCTCTCTCTATTTTTACTTGACAAAATCCTGTAGTGCGACATTAAAGTCAAATGCATCCGTTCGTTCCTGAAATCCCATACCAACAAAAGCATGTCGTCCATCACTTTCAATCTTGAGTACAAAGTATCGACTGGAATCTAACACTGCCTCTACTGAATTACCTTGGATCTCATAAGGACACACAGCAAAGATCTCACCTAACCCCAAAGAATGTTGTTAGACTTTCTTATCTCCCCGCTCCCCTTTACATTAAAAAAAAATGGGGGGACTGCTTACCTGTGCTGTTGTCTTCCATACGAATTTCACACGTCTTTCCTTTGCTAATAATACGTAATCTACCTTTCCATAAAAAAGAACTACCAAGATCTCCCCATTCAGAGGCTCTACATCTTGTTTTAATATATCTGTTTCCCTCCCCCCCCCCCTTTTTTTTTTGTTTACCTGTAACCTCGAGCTGCTGTTCTAGGAGGAATCTTGTACACTACCATCACAAAAAAAAAAGAGAGACAGTTTTAAAAAGTCATCTCACGAGATAATCAAGCCCGCCCTCTTTCTTTTTCTTACCAAAACATTCACGAATAATTAACAATACACTTTCGTATTCCTCTTCCATCTTTATACACGAGATGGGTTATTCAGTGTGGAGAAAAGAAAAAATAATTATTTTTTAAGGGTCATTTTTTTTTTTTTTTTTTCGCAACCAAAAAAAAAGTCCTAAAACACTTTGGGCGGCCTTTTAACATGATCATTTCTTCTGCCAAAAAAAAAGTTTATACAAACGACTCTTATACCTTTGTCAGTGCGTATTAAAAAGGAAGGACAATGAAGGTTCCTTACCAACCCCCCTTTTAAGAAACACACTGTCCCCCCTGGCAGTTGTCAACTTTTTTTTTTCTCTTTTTTTTTTTTTTTTTTCGGTTGTTACCCAAACTGCATCATGACGCAAGAAAAAAAAAGTTTTTTTTTTTATGCATTCACTTTTTGGCTCTAAAAATAATGTTGTATGTAAAATCAACATGTAACTAAAAAAAAAAAAAAAATACGTATTTTAGGCACAATCCCCCCCATCGCGTGACTTTTGTGAGATCATATGTTTTGAAAAGAACCAAAGTAGAATTATCAGAATATTCTGGAGGTGTGTTGTCATGCCACCATTAGACCACATTCACTCTAAATATACCGCGCTTTGTTTATTTGTTATTTTTTAATATATACAAGCCTTGATGGGCTTATTATGATGGGGGGAAGGGAGAGCTATATATATATATATATATTTACAAAGAGTTTATTTAAAGCTTCATTTAAAACTGAAACGAGTAAGCACCGCCTTGACCACCGCCAGGAAAGTTACCGCCAAATGGGAACCCATTCTGGAAATGAAATCCTCCCTGTTGTTGTTGTTGTTGTTGTTGTTGGAACGGTGATGGGCCTCCACTTCCCTTCTCAGGATCATAGGGATCATATCCATTATCATACTGTTGTCTCATATCCGCATCACTCAATACAGCATAAGCTTGATTAATATCCGCCATCTTACGCTCCACTTTCTCCTTGTCTAAATCACCACTGTATTTATCAGGATGCCATTCATGCGCCTTCTTACGATACGCCTTCTTGATCTCACGTGTATCTGCATTGGGCGAGACATCCAATAGCTTGTAATAATCAATTTTTTTCGACTGCTTGAGCTTTTGTTGCGCTTGTTGTAATAGCGTACGAGCCCTTCCATCACTACGTCCCAACATCGTATGAGCTTTTTCCAAGTCACGCACAGCATCCTCATATTCCTTTTGTCGAAGGTACGCTCCACCACGGTACAATAGGGACTCGCCATCCTCTTTTTCGGCCAAGGCCAATGTACACCATTTCTGGATCAGTGTATCGTCTTTTCCTTGCTGTCCATATAATTGACAGGCCAGACGGTAGCAGGTAGCATGAAGTCTTTTCGGCAGTGGTGTTCGTAATGCGAGTTGTGTTTCGAGCGCCTCCAACTCCAAATCGATGTCTTGAAGAAGACCTTGTCGATTGGCAGTACCGATCAGATGATTGGCCGCGGTGGCCCAACGTTTGGACTGAATATCGGTTTCGATCGAGGCTAACTCCTTGTTGATTTTTTTAATTTGACGAAATAGTTTTTTACATTCCTTTTGTTCTGGATCGTAATGAAGACATTGCTTGACATGCGTGAGTGCACCTTGAGGTTCGTTCAATAGGTAAAAATTGATTTTTGATAAGATGAGTAGGATATCGGCATCCGATGGATTTAATTGGGCTGCACGTCTATATATTCGTATAAGAATGAGCTAAATAATTATAAAGAACAAGACAAAAAGAGAGAGAAGAGGGGGGGGGGGTATTCTTACGCATAATCGCCGGCTGCTTCATCTATCTCGCCTTTACCTACATGACATTGTGCTCGTAATAAACGAGCTTCTGCTAGTAGAGGACATGTCCGTGACACGGCGGTTGTCAATGTAATACATTCTTCATAATTTTCTTCTGATTTTTCGATTCTTGCTTTTCTCATGGCTTCTTGAGCACTTTGTACTGCGTGCAACTGTTTATACGAAAAGGGTGGTTAATAATAATAAAAAAAATTATTATTTATACAGATCAATGCAAATGTCAATTTACCATAGTCTGAGCTTTCTTATCAGAGACATGATTTTCTAAATACTTGTTTAAATCATGTAGAGCCAGATCAAAATGCCCTTCCTGTGTATAAATCCGAGCTCGCTGAAGATAAGCGTTATCGAAATCGGGTTTGAGGTTTAAAATGGTTGAAAAATCATCTACCGCTGCATGATGACGGCCCAGTGAAAGATACGCTGTGGCTCTTTTAAAATAGGACAAGTAATTATCGGGTTCTTGACCTTTTTTGTTGTTGTGTGCGTTAACAAAAAGCCATGTCAGTGATAAAAAAAAAAAAAAAAAACTTACGAATGGCGGCGTCAAAACTGGTGAGGGCTTCATTGTATTTTCCACCTGTCAAATACGCATTGCCTTCAGTCAAATACTCTTGTGTACTTTTGTCTCCAAATACACTACATGAGAGTAGCAATGGAACTAGACAAGCCAAAATATAGTGTGAATGTCTCATTTTAAGAAAAAAAAAAAAAAAAAAGTGTGAAAAGAATGAAACAAACTGGCTCATAGTTTTTTATTATTTATGTGGATTTTTCTCATTGGCTCATAACGCCACAGTTGCCACACGTGATCTTTTATTTCTCTCTCTTTCATTCTCTCTCTGGAAAAAAATATAATAAACCCTTTTTTTTTAAAAGGAAGCAACATAAAATGACGGCTCAAAATGTCATGATGGACAACCTTGTCGAGTCGATAAAAGCAACATTAACCGAAGCCAACATGTTGGGTTTTGCATCCTACACCGAACAAACCCTCGCATTCTTTCACGCCGTACGTTCTTTTTTTTTTTTCTTATATTCTCATTTGTTTAAACGTGTTTCTTCTTTCTCTCACCTCAGGTAGACTGGACACAACCTTGGATTATCAGCGTTATTGTATTCCATCTCTTGTGTTTCCTGATTTCAATCAAACTCAGAAACAATCATGACGCTCTGCCTATTTATTTCATGATCCTAAGCAAGTAGTTTTATAGAGGGATACCCAACCCCATGTCAAACTCATCATTTATTATTTACAGTGGGTATGGCAGCACTGACACAACCCTTAAATTCATTGGCCATTCAACATTGGTCACTTTTCTCCACAGAATCCTATTTTGACACTTCCGGTCTGTTTATTGTTTCCGTTTATGCTTTCCCCTTGATCTTTAACTGTAGTCTGACATTGGTAACCAAAAAAAAAAAAAAATCTGTGCTCTTGTATCACCACACACACACACACTCATGATTTTTTTTTTATTTATTAAAAATACAGGCTTTTATCTTGAGAGCAGTCGTATCCACATTAATTAAAGCAAAACGAGCTCAACTCAAGAGTAGAGCAAGAAATAGCTCCAAAAACAAAAAACAAGAGTAGTGGAAATTCATTTGTTAGAACAATAAAAAAAAAAGTAGGAAGAGGGTTGGGAGGGGAGGGGGACACATTTGACGTAATTGGGTTTATTTTTTACCATTCACCCCCTCCTACTATGCGTCCATGTGAGAGCTACATACATAAATAATTATCCAAACCTCTTTTCTTTTAAAAAAAAATAATAATACACACAGCTGAAGAATACCACACGATCTTATTGTATGAAGGGGTTTGAACTTTCCTAAAGTATCCAAGATTTTTCAATGAACCCTGACTACTATATATATATAAAAAAAAAATGAATGCCATATTGTCAGACCTCAGATTTACTTTCTTGACAATACAGACTCAAGCAAAATAAAGTTGATAGCACGTAAGACAATACTTTGATCAAACAACCCTCCCCTTAAATACAATGAGTAATGATAAACGAGCGGTGCTATTTTGAGAACTTCATGTAACAACATCAAAAAAAGGGGGGGGGGGGAAACTTGAGTTATAACAGTATTAGTTAGCTTGAGGATCCAATCTTTAACGATAATTGAAAAACTAAGAAAAAAAAAAGGAAAAGACCAGCTATGATGGTCCCTTGACATACCAGCAAAAACTCAGCAATCCACATACGATTATCCCCCACAAAATATAAAAAACAAGTGGTTTGCGGTATCGCTTGAGTGTCTGACCTACATTACTCATATGTCTTTAGTCAATACTACTATTCGTTCCTGAGGTTATGTGTACTTTTGCAAGCATTCCTCATAGTGGTGGTTAAAGTGATAATAGTAAAAAAAAACAAAAAGTCAATGGTATAATAAGTGACATTTACTTAATTCAATGATCAGTATAGACTAACAAGTGATCAACCATGAGGACTTATGCGTATACATACTATCTATTTTAATAGTGACGCAAGTTTCATATTTACAGTGGGGATGATTGTTTTATTATATACTACTACTACTACTATCGCTTTCATTAGTTTTATCGCCATTACTACTTTTCGTTTTTCTTGCTGCTTTCGACCAGAATACCATGTAAATCTTGAGGAATATACAATGAGTTATCTTGACATATTGGGGGATAGAATGATCCACGGATCCATGTGCTGTAATTAATCTGTTCCTCTTGTTGCTTTGGTGTGTGGGAAAAATGTGAGGTAAAACTCTTTTTTTCTTCACGACCAATCGATCAAGTGGATCAAGTTAAATACCATAGACTTTAATAAACAATATGTTTAATCAAAACAAAATAATTTTTTAAACAAGCAAGCATGTCAATTTCTTACCCTTAAGGAAAACAGCTTTTGAAACCAATTTGAAGAGTTTTCGGCAAATTCGGCGGGGCTTAATGGAAGCCTTAAATCCAGAAACTCATCAATACAATACAAGCCATAATCCCCAAGGTACAATCTTGAAACATCACATTGATTGCCTAAAAGGAGTGGTTATTCATATGTGTGTCTACAGCAGTAGGCATCTTTTTAGGGTGTTATTTATACACTTACTACAAATTTGAATGATAGGGACACCATTTCGCTTGTGATCGAAGGTGCCCGAATTTCTGATAGCTAGGAATTCCTAGTAAGCGCAAGGCATCAGCTTGCGTTGACGACATCCCTAATGATGTCGTCTAAAATAATCTTGCTCTCAATAACAGATTTCGTATGATTCGCCATTCATTCTATTTACCGTCCTATATCTTGCTGCTTCGATATTTGGCAAATCGATGAGCTTGTTGTTCAAAGACGAGCTTACAGTCAATTCTGAAATTGTTATCCTCGGCTACAGACTCGCCCCTTATGTTCTTGTTAAAAAAAAAAGACACGAAGAAAAGCTAATATTTAACTTGATTGTACTTTACCACTTGCATCTTACTCCCCGCTTGTATCAGGAAATAATGGTTCTAATATTCCACCCCAGATCTTCATTAAGTAATCTAACTCAGTAGGATCATTTGATTTTATTTTAAGAGCCACGGAGTGAAAGCGGTAGACATCAATGCTACAGTGGTGAATGGAAAGTAGATTAGTATCCAATGAGCTTTAACGTATTTCATACGACACATGTCAAAATTCATTTACGTGTGAGCATAGATTTTAAACAGGATTTCATCAGGTGCATTTAGGTTCTGAATTAGGTTCCTGGCCAAAGCATACGTGTCCACCAAGTTCAACTTTTTCAGCTTCTTATTTAGTTTCTTCAAGCAGTCAAATTTCTTGAAAAGGTTCAACTTCTCGAAAGAAGTCAAACTTTTTGAAGAATTTTGACTTCATTGACACAAACACCAAGAACTTCCCCCCCGAAGACGTCGAATTTCTTCGAAGTAGTTTAACTTCTTGAAGAAGTCAAACTTTTTGAAGAAGCTTGACTTCATTGACTCGAATCACCGAGAACTTCCCCCGAAGACGTCGAATTTCTTCGAAAGAGTTCAACTTCTTGAAGAAGTCAAACTTTTTGAAGAAGCTTGACTTCATTGACTCGAAACACCGAGAACTTCCCCCGAAGACGTCGAATTTTTTCGAAAGAGTTCAACCTCTTGAAGAAGTCAAACTTTCTGAAGAAAATTTGACTTCACCGATATGAACACCGGGAACTTCCGCGAGGACGTCAGATTTTTTGAAATCGTCCAACTTCTTGATGAGGAGGTCCAACTTCTTGAAGAGGTTCAATTTCTTGAAGAGGTCAAAATTTCTGAAGAAATTTGACTTCACCGACAAGAACACCGAGAGCTTCCGCGAAGACGTCATATTTCTTGAAGCAGTCAAACTTCTTGATACTCACAAGGCTGGACTTCATATGGTATTGCTTCCTCAATTGATCCCACTCATTATCAGCAAAATACTGCTTTTGAGAATCCAATGAGTGATCAGAAAGATCCACGATACTATTCAAGGACATGCTGTGGGAGATAAAAATCTTGTAAGTTTTTTGTTCTTTGCTAGATTACATAAATAAATACATTACTCACTTATGTGCTTTGTCTTTGGGCCAAGTTGACAATAGTTTTTTGCAAGATCTTCAGCATTGTTCTTGAGTTTTGTTGCAACACTGACCCCACCAAAGTACAGTTTATCACCTTCAGTCTATTTAGTCATGGAAAACATTAATTTGCGCAGTAAAAAAAAAAAAAAAAAAAAAAAAAAAAGTACCCTTTTCATTGGCTCATATTTCCGTTTCATCTGGAATACCAAAGTAACCTTCCCGCATACTTGGCTGGAGGAAGAAGAAATACTTTGTTCAACAGCGCGGTCATTCCTCGCACGCGTATAACCTCTTATAAGCTTGGCCGTCTTGTTTTCCCTGTTGGTCCAGTATATTATACATTCGTTTGTGTTTATAATCTTTACAGCATGTTAGTGCGAAGCAATATTAAAATTACAATTCAAAGAGTAACCTCATAACTATTGTTTTTGACGCCAATGCACCAACTGACAAGATTAAAAGGTTTTGCCGTGTTTTTTTTGACAAATTGTCCATCGCCTGTTCGAAAGAGGCTATGGCGGTATTGTGGCTTAAGCTTGAAGCAGTAGCTTCAAAAAACAAGACCGTGTTTACAGTCTAAGGAAAAATGGTTAAAAACAATGCTTTGGCCAAAAAAAAAAACTTGTAAATGTCCAGACCTCCGTATTTCTTTTTTCACGCGACTGTTTTTTTGCGTGATCTTGCCAAATGTAATGTCTACGCGTAAGTTCTTGTAAATGTTTAGATCTCTGTATTCTTTTTTTCTCAAACCTATTTTTTTTTTATATATACCACTTACTGCCAAGGACCAGCAAGCCAGTCTGATAACGCATATTTACAGTGCAATCCTGCTATTTACAACCTGTCTATTCAGTGAGGTTCTAAAAAAAAACCCCAAGAATTCAACCTAGGAGTCGCCACCGTCCTATGGCAAAGACTAGTTGTAGCTGTAGATCGCAAGAATTACAACGTGTCTTTTTTTTTTATATAAAAAAAAAAGTTATAATTTGGTGTTTCTTAAAAGAATTATGTTAAAGGAAAAGGAAAAGGGAAAAAAAAGTCTTATGAGATGATCTAATAAAAAAAAACAAGCTGATGATAAACAAGGGATTATGTCAGAATGATTTTTAATCAGCCGTCATGTTTGGGACTTTACTTAAAATAGAAAGATTTGCAACCCCCAAGCCAGTCAGAACTCGGTAGTTGTCTATCTGCTTCACTATCATTACAACGAGCTACTATTACGGAATAATACATAAGTTATTGAGAACAAAAATTCGATTATCCTATAAAAATTAGACGATATGGCATGTCAATCGAGGTAAAGAGGTTTATTTGTAAACCATCATGTGATCCAAAAAATACGTTTGACAAAAAAAAAAAAAAAAAAAAAACAATTACGGAGGTCTAGACATTCTTTAATTTTCCAAAGTGTCTTTTAGAGTCGCTTTTACATAACTCACAGATTGAGTCTGTTTACAAATCTTTTGTTCTCTTTGTGGTATTTGACAAAAATAATACACTTGAGAAATAATGAGATAAAGGTATATCTTAATTCGAGGTAAAAATAGACTATAAGAACTCTGCTGCTATGATATAATTGATCCTTTTTATATTGCATAACTCTCCTGAGTTTTAATGATGAGTCAACTTTTCTGGTCTTGGAATAGATCTATACTTTGTTTCCCGCCTTGGGTTAAATGAAAGCTACTCTTTAGAATTATTTCCAGTTAACGTTGTCTCATATCAATGGATCGGGAGCATACGTATTCTAATAAATCTTTAGTATTACGAGACACTTATTTATCAGATCATGCATCGTTTACTGTAAAAGATGCGTACTTGTTTGTCAAGTGTAATTGGCTGTAGAACATAATAGTTGTTGTATTCGAGCAGTATATGCACCACATTTACGGTAACATACTTGCACTCCGACGATTGAAGTAATTTATCATCTTTCACCTTTTGGTATATGTCAGATGATATTTCATAATTCAGGTAGCACTAATATATTTATTTCAGTTATGGACTGTTACTTTATTATCCTTGATGTACCTTGCGGGATATTAACAGTTTAGACAACATGTCAATATAATCTACCCACGGTAGTCATCTTCTCGTTTGCTTGTCGTGATCGAGGCTATATACTTAATATATGACTCTATCTACATTTCTTAAATCTTCCATTTGATAATCCTAAGTATAATTCTTATTGATACTGTTATATTAAATACTGATCATTTACTTTATGTACAGGCTTGATCTCATATCATCCTTCATACAAGTATAAGACATACATTTAAATAATAACATTGATATGAACATATATGAAGGTTACATCAGCCACATTGAGGTGCCACAGCTATCTGAATTAAGAACTACATTTTCCCCTGAATATTGTGCTACAAGACATACACAGTTTAAGAATGAATGTTATTGTTATTGTTATTGACATCTCATTATGGCCTTTCTATATGGGATCATTACATCCGAGTATTATCTGGATGAATCTACCCACGACCGTCATCAGCCCATCTGTGATCAATGTCTGAAATAATGTGTATATAAAGACCCCTTTTTATTTGTTTAATAAAGCCTTAGTTAATTTTTGCAAGTTTGATAATTTTCTTGTTTTTTATTTTATAAATCTACACCGATTTCCACATTGCTGTAAATAGTTATCTTCATTGTGTTTTAAAGAAACCCACATTTGTATGTTCCTTTTTGCAATCTGGTTAATACTTTATCACATTTTCTTTTTTTGTCTATGGATTTTTTCAATAGTTATAGTTGATCATTTATTCATTTTCTTTGTAATGAATAAAATACGATTCCAAATATAAAATGTCTTATCGATATTTGTATATTTGGTTGTAAAAGATAGGTATCCATTAATTCATACACTATTTTTTTATACTCTTTATCAGCAGTATAAGTATATCAATATAGAAGTAAATTAACTATTTATATTAATAGCTGTTCTATTCTCTCTCTGGGTAGATAATCCATTGACAGAACTATTAAAATTAAGTTCCTCTTTCTTATAATTCTTGAAGATTTTCTTCTCGATCGGTGATATCATAACTCAGTGGTATAGCATTCTGTATCCAACTGTCATTCGTATGTCGTATTTAAGCCAATCATGCAATTTTAATATAGAAGAATGTACTCGTAGTAGGAGAAGTTGTATAGCAGAATACAAGGGTATGCTGGTATGCAACATCAAAGGTTGTTTTAATTTCATGGTCTATTTTTATAAACGATTTGCTTAAATATTCTTAAGTAAATCGTTTCCAAATAGGACAGAAAAATCAATTTACTGTTAACCACAATCATCCAAAATAAAATCATCAAATTAAAGACTTTAATTATGTTCTATTATATTAAAAATGATGCGCCCAATACGATTTCATGTTCTCATGTTTAAAAAAGCTGCCCATAATTTACCCAATATTGACAATGAACTCTTTCCTGCTCCTTTGTTTTCGCTTAACAAGCTGTTTTGAATTGAATTTTTTATATAGTAAACTGTCATTCCCGTACGTTCTTTCAAGCCAAAAAAATGCTCAGAATTATTGAAAATATTATATCAAATTATTAAATTTTAATTTTAAGATTTTTTTGAAAACACCTAAAATTGGCCAAAACCCAAAGGGTATACCTCGAGGAAAATCACAAATTTAACAAATCAACTTTTTGAATACTCTTCCTGTAGATTAAATGCAAAGTGTTTCTATATAACTATAGCCCAAATTTAATGCTCTCTACACTGGTTTTGTTTTTCGAGCAGTTTTGTTATTAGAAAAATTATATTTCACGCATAATTAAAAAAACAAGTTTTTGCTAGACAAAGTATGAATTTTACACATTGAATCCTTTCAAAAATAAGCTCAAAAGATGCGCCTAATTTTTCTACGCATTTTGGGTATAGGGTTGTCTAAGTAAAAGTTTAATATCCAGGGACCTTACTTTGACAGGAAAATTATAAAATGTCATTTTTGATCAAATCGTTTTAGAAAATGCAAGTATGTTTCCTCTGATTGTACAGTGCATCTATTTTATAATGAACAATTTTTTGCTCCGATTTCTAAAAAAAAAGAAAACGCTATCTCTTCGATGAATTTAACATATATCGAAAATCCGGCTCTATTATGTTCTTTATTAGAGAGTTCTTCATAAACTAATAGAGCCCGATTTTTTTCTTTTCACATAAAATGTTTTAGAGATGGCAAAACAAAATCTGCCATTTACATTAGGGACGCTCAAATAAAATCGAGCCTCCAGGTTCCAGCTTCCAGCAAAATTTTAGATAAATTCTATTGGCCAAGCATTTTCCGATTTCTTTTTGTGATTTCTTAAATTTGCTGGAGCAAAAAGTGCTCCAGCAAAATAAAAATTAATTCCAGCTTTTTTTTCGTCCAATAACATTTTGGTATTTCGTTACATGATGTAAGGCTATCAAGCATGACATAATTTATTACTTTAGTCTTTTCCACTTCAACAACACTTTTATTATTATTATGCCTCTCTTGTCAACTAAAAAACGTCTCATGGAAGACGTTAAAAAAATGCTGTTTTTCTTCATTACAAAATATGAACGAGAAACCAAGTCGACCGAAGTAGATCGTCGCATAATCGCAATGACAAAACAGAATCTGGAAACAATGGCAGCTTTTTACCTTGCTTTACAAACCGAAAGATACAGCGTAAAAAAAAACTGGGGTACTCGTATTCGTACTGGCACATATCTCGATTTATTAAACGAAGGTAGAGAAAGTGTCTTTAAAAGTAAAATAAGGATGAGTAAAGAAGCCTTCAAAGACGCAGTCAGAGCGTTTGGTGATTATGAGGAGTTCGAGAACTTCACGAAAGAGAAAATTGAGCTCCATTTCTTGATCACTTTTCATCGATTGGGATGTAAAGGAAATGCTGCTTCAATCACGCAGGTATCCGATTACTTTGGTGTTTCTGGTATGACAAAAAAAACGCTCAGATTTATTATGATCTAACATTAAAAGTAGAAGGTACTGTGATCAATTACACCAAGAGAACCATAAACGCAATTCTGGCTAAAGAAGATCAGTATGTTTACTGGCCAGCGGCAGAAGAAAGGGAACATATATCAAAGAAGATAGGCGAAAGAAGCCACTTCAAGTCATGCGTCGGATTTGTCGATGGTACATTTATAAGAACCGAGCGTAGTCCCAGCTATGCCAAGAATAATTTTTATTCTTATAAACGTGCGTATGGTATCTCTACAATGCTCGTTTGTGATCACAAACGAAGAATTCGTGTTTGTGTCACTGGATGTCCTGGTGCTATTCATGATAATAATGTTTATCAAGCAACAAGTCTGGCCAAATCCCCACATAGACATTTCTCCCCTGGTGAATATATATTAGCTGATAGTGCATACAGTGTTACCTCGACTGTCATCTCATCATACAGAACCGGTTCAGTACAGGCTACAAAAGAAGAAATAGAGAAATTTAATTTGTATGTAGCTCAAACTCGTATCACAATTGAACATTGCAATGGAATTCTGAAAGGAAAGTTCCAAAGCCTTCAAGAGCTTCGTATTACAATTCGTGACAGGAAAACTTTGATCGAAGCGGGAAGATGGATTCGTGCTTGTTGCATTATGCATAATTTCCTTTTAGAAGATTCAACTGACATAGAGGAGTTCAGAGAGGCCAGTGGACATAGAAGATTCATCAGTAGTTCGCAGAATAGGTCAGATGATGATAGTAGTTTAAATTTCAGAAGAAATCAGTTGAAGAATGATATATTGCATAACAACGCTCAAAATTAATAAACATTTATTTAAAAAAAAAATAGGTTAATAATCTGCAAGGTCTTTCATAAACTTCTTTATGGTTTCATATCCTTCAGATCCTTTTTCTTCGTTTCGAAGTTCTTTATTCAAAAGCAGCCATTGCTTTTGTCTCTCGAATATCATTGCTACTCTCTCGTCATCCCTCTTTTCTCTTTGAAACTCCAATAGCTCGTCCTCGCGATCTTCATACTTCTTAGATGCTTTTCTTTGTCTCTCAAAGAAGTCGGTAATGCACTCATTGAGACTCCTCTTTTTTCCTCTACTTTATCTAGGCGAAGGTGGTCTAGTGGAAGAGAGGGGCAAAACATCATCATCATCATCATCATCATCATCCAAGTTGACATCATCAACATCATCCATGTTGGTTGAATGAACATCGTCTTCATGATCAGGCTGTTCATCATACGCACTTAAATCAGGAGTCCCACTGACGATATTCCCATTCGACTGCATTCCTTCACCAGTTACAAGTGGATCCGAGTGTCATGAACCGCTTAGGTTTCAGTTGTATATTATCATGCAAAATGTCTCAGATCATTATTGAAACCCAACTAGCCCATTGTCCCTGTTCCACCTGTTCCACCTGTTCCCTGTTCTCTGTCTCCTGTCACACATGTCACTGTCAAACATCACTATTGTATCCTGTCTAACGTCTCTGTTCCAAATAATGTATCTCCGTTATCCCTTGTCCTTGTCAAACCCATTTAACACCCGTTTCCTTTGTACCTCTGCCTTTGAACTCCCTTGTAAAACATTAATAATATCAGCCCATGTTATCCTCTGCATCTTTCCCCGAAATTATCTGTATCTATGCCCGCTACCCCAAAGATGTCCCAAACTCAATATGACTAATAATCTGTCTCTGTATATCTGATCCCCGAACCCTTGTTTACCCGATCTGTCAATTAATATAAATACCAGCATGTTTATTTATTCTTATTTCTGTATTCAAGATCTTATCTATTTTTCCTCTTTCTTTGAATAAACCTTTTTTCTACCTACATTCCTTGTATATATATTAATACTAATACATATATAATTTCTCTTTGCCTCGTCCCTCACCTTAATAATCATTCTGTTCTGCTCTTGCCCCGCCCCGCTCCTGACACCGAGCCAAGTAAAGGGAGAAGATCATAATACCACTTAAACAAATGAGTGGTTTTCTCTAAAAGTTTAGATATAGTAAGTTAAACAAATTTAACGGTATAATAGTTAGCAGTTAGTAGTTTTCTTCTTACCTTCAACAGTG